GCATTAAAAAAATTCTGAATGGGGGCCGAATGCATTAAAAAAATTCTAAATGGGGCCGAATGCATATAAACACATGCATTATTGTCGTTGTTCATATCTGCAAAAAATATAAGCAAATAGTTGAATATAGCGCTTATATAGACATATATCATAATATAAAGAAGATCAAACAATATATGCTGTATCGTATAACGATGAACACGATGTACAATATCGAACTTCGATTGTTGATGTTTTTTAATGTGGGTAAATGGTGTAAAAAGGATGGATGCATGAATTTATAGTGGTGTATAATAAAAAGGTAAGTAAAATGTAATATAGGATATGCAAATTTGAAATAAATATGTGAATTATTGCATTAGTTTATTGACATAAAATAAATCTCAATGGAATTAATTGGAACAATGAGCGATATTTATGTATAAAGAAAAAAACTAAAAACAATCTATAGAGAAAGAAAATAATTCAAAACTAAAGCATAAAATGTCCGAAAACTACCAAAATCATTTCGTAATTTGTTATCACAAATCAAGTGTTGAATGGGTTATCGAAATTTATGTATACGTTTTTTTTGAGATATTCCATACAGAATAAATTAAATATCACAACAGATCCGAAAAATTGTATTCATGGAAATTATACCGAAATCGTTCTGCAATAATCTAAAATATAAGTATGCATGCTAGAAAATATTTTAAACGTCAAATAAATTTAGGTCAAATTTATCATTAGTTCTTGGGATTCATATCCCAACAATTGGCATGAAAGTTTCTTTGGTCAATTCGTTTGAGATTTACCATGTTGTCCAATATCCGTAAAAACGATCCATGCATCGCAAGTATATATGATCTTTTCCAACTTTGTTCTAATTGTAAAAAGACCCACTATTTATGGTCAACATTTTTATGTATGAATGTTTTTAATCGAGATATTGATGAGACATCGTGTACCTATGATTGTTTTTGAATTTTCTTGATTAGCTCTAGATAGAATGTTCATAGGTAGATTGTAATTAGCATTTAGTTTTTTCGTTGTCGTTCTTTAATTTGTATTGTGATATTCGTTTCTTAGTACATTCCGAATTGCTCCAACAAGAAACTAACATATATATGCTAAGTACAATCTACACTAGTTCATCGGTTTGGTTGTCTGCGAATTTTCTTATATATGGAATTCCAAACTTTCTTATTGAGTTTTCTTATCGGTTTAAATTTTTTCGGAGGATTTAAAGTGAAGAAGTTAAATTATCGTCATATTTTGATTTTCTCTAAGTTACCGTTTAGAGAAGTTTAATCCTCACAGTGAGTTACCATTTGCTTAGGTCTAGATCTGAATTCCAGAACTTCCTATACATTTGTTGGAGAATGCGCGACACTTTTTTTCAAATCGAAAATTTAGCTGGTCGTCTAATATAGGTAGATCCTTACCATGTTGGGGGCAAGGAAGATAAACATGTTGAAATTAATCTCGAATCAATAATCTCGGATTTTTTTTTTTTTTTTGGCGAAGAAGAAGTCTCAAATCACGAAGCAAATTTGGGTTTTCAAAGTGAGACTGAAGGATAATAAAGTTAGCCGATTATCCTCCTCGGCGCAAAAAGTTGAGGTAGTTGATGCTTCACCGGAGCGAGTGCCGGTCGATCGAGGAGATATGACCATGATAAATTCTCTAGTCGACGTTGCTAAAAACGAAGAACTCATGGTGGAGGTCTTCCTAATTTTCGACCTAAGCTTGCCGATCTTCGTTACTCTCGAGCCACCTCCCGGAGACAGTGGTATAATTTTGGCGACTCCATTTGTTTCGTCATCCAAACAAGACATTATCTTTTATATGAAACGAATGCGTTGATATATTTTCTAGCTTTTAATTTTTTCTTTAGTTCTCAAAATTAATAATCTCGTAATCAATCGTCAAATGAATCTCAAGTGCAGATGTGGAGGAAGAGAGTGAACACGAAGAATCTGAGTTTGAGAACGATTTTTCGAGCTCGAGCTTTCTGATGACTCGAGCCCGAGCTCATTTTAAGTTGTTCCCGAGCTTGCGAGCCGGTCTGTAATTTTTTTTTAAAATATAATTAATATAAAATAAATAATAAATTCATATAGATAATTAAAAATAAATTACAATATCAATTTTTATTATAATTTATAATACTAAATTTCTAATAATATTAATAAAAAAATAAAAATAAAAATAAAAATACACAAAATGGCCTCGAGCTCGACTCGCCCGAGCTAAGAAAAACAATACTCAAAGAGCCTGAGCTCGTCAAAATGGATGCGAGCTCGAGCTCGAGCTCGCCAAAACAGCCAAGCACGACTCGTTTACACCCGTACTCAAAATTCACAAAATCTAACCTTTTTTTTTTTTTTTTTTTAGTTTTAATTTACAAATTTATGCATTACTTAGCTATTTGTTTATGAGAGTTTTCACTCTCTGGAAAATCCTTTTTAATATCGTTTTTGAAATTCAGCATAGTTAGGTTATTTATTTCACCGGCAAACCAAATTCAAATAAAATTTTAGTGCGAGTAGTACACTACACTAGTTATTCAATTTTCGTGATGAAGAAAATGGCAGAACCCAATCGCAACACTAGGTCGAAGCGGAGCTCGGCTATAGGGTTAGTAGCCGGCGGCGGAGTGGTGGTTGCTCCTCCCTTCCAAACTTCAAAACCCTCGATTGTCGAATTGCACTCACCTATCGAACAAATCAAATTTCAATTTTCTCATCGTAATTTACTCTTGCTATGTGTGAAGAAATGTGAGGGAGGAATGAAGAGCAGAGGCGGAGGCGGGGCTGGTGGTGAAATACGGCGGCGCCTGACCTAAAAATTTGTTTTTGCCGGAACTTCGCCGGTGTGTGAAATTTGTGCGCGGCTGAGTTGAACCGTGTTTTTTTTACGTCATGCTGCAAGCGCTTGTACCTCGTGCAATATGTGCTGCACATTGAGCGGGTGAGTGTCTTGCAACTCTGTCTATTGAATTCAGTCTATTGAATTTAGTGGTTTTACTATTTATTCATTGCTTAGGTTTTCAAATTTCTGTTAGGCTGCATTTTGTTTTTTTTAAAGAAGGATCACATTTTATTAGTGAAGAGTAAGGGAGGAAATAATTACAAATGAAGATTACGACTTTTATGTTTCGAATCGCCTATCGCATCTAAGAATATTAAGTTTTGAACGTTCGATGAAACTTCATATTGCATGGCAGTGGGGCATGAAGAATTTCCGCTAGCCAATTATCACCCGAAAATTAATGTGTCCAGATAAGAAGTTCATACGAGTACGGATTGTTTTCCAAATTAACGAACATGTATATCAGTTGATGACGTTCTTGATATATAACAAATCGATTGAGGTTGTTTGGATTGAGTCGTTTGACAATAGACTGCAATTCGTTAGCTCTCACGTTAAGTTAATTTTTGAGCAATTGTGTGGATCTCAAATCGTTCCCATTTGATGTCATTTCAAATCCTTCTCATTTGGAATCAATTTAAATCGAGTAATCTCAAATTATTCAATGCCAATGAAGGCTTAGTCTTTTAGGGGAGAAACAAGGAGTTGGGGTATTTTCTTATTTATATTACAATATCTTATCTCAAGTTAGTTGCGGCATGTTGATTGTTACTCCATTACTGAAAAAAAAAAGATATAATGGCTGCTTCGTTTTTGCTTATGACCTCAATTAGTTAGGGTTTCTCATTGAAGATAAGAGTGTATGCTGGAATTGCGTGATCATATGCCTCAAATCATGAAACGAACTAGTTGTCCGAGACTCACAAGCGAGACATTTGTCGTAATAATTTTTGCCAGCAAAAATATTTCTAGTTCGCTTAAACTGTTAATTATTGTTCCATATAATATTAAATACGTTATCCGACAGCTATTATGAAGACGTATTTATATAGGTTAAAACAACTTGAGCTATTGGAGATGCATTGATTCAATTTTTTCCTACTTAATTTAATCTTTTGTAAGAACATTTCCTAAAGCGGTTTAGATTGATCTTTGAAGTATAAACTGTGATGCATACCAAAAAGAACAATTGATTAATAAAATGTATTTACAGTATCTGTCTACGTGAGTGGGTTCTGATATTGATTTTATATTTTTTATTTGGAATAAATTACTCTATTTTTGTCGAGCTATTAGTTGTCGAAAACTATTAAAACGCCTCTCTTTTGTTATTTCTTTTATTTGCACTTGTAAGAGTACTCTCCTGTGAAGTTGTCTAGCATCCACTTCCCATACTTGAACAACCATGTAATGCTATTTGGATTAATATTTTACTATGCTAATGATTTAAATTTGAGAGGTACGGCTATTTAAACACGTTTAAGGAGGAACATGGTTAAAATTAAAATTCCGAGTGACGTTCATATAATTCCCTGCACATATAAGAATAGCACTCTGACTCTGAATTACGCGGATTAGTTGTTTGGGATAAGAATACCGTAATTTTTGTGAAAAGTATTAATGCATCCCTCTTTAGAAAAATGTATTTGTAGCCTTAAATGCAAAATTCTTTCGTATTTGATTCACTATCTGTCAAAATCCACACGAGAGATTTTTAATGACTGTGAATAACACTTGCAGATTGTGACATAAATGGCTGTATCCAAATTATGAATTTTAAATTATTAATTAACCTGATAAGGTAAATTAAATAAAAAGGAAATTGTGAGATATTGCTAAACAAGTTTATATTGTATTAATCATCGAAATCCTTGACGCGGTTTGTGAAGAAGAGGTAATTAATACTAAGATTTGCTTTGTTTATACTTTATATTCAACACGATGTACCACTTCTGTAAAATGATTTATATTATTTTGTTACTGCATACACTATTAATTGTTTCATTCTGAAGTTTGGCCCCGTAAATCTAGAGTTTTAACTTCTCATCAAAGTAAGTGTAAATTTTCAATATGACAGAGTGTCCAAGAAAAAATCCTATTTGTACTAATAATAATTATATATAATGTAATTAGACAGAGTATCCATGTATTCGTACTGATACTGGTGTACGTCTTAGAAAAGTGAGTTCTGTCGATTATGAATAAATGATATTTGTATATTCAATACTGTTGTTACAGATAAATTAGCCAACCAAAAATCATGTCTAGATTCAAGAACAAATGAGAAGACGATGTGAATCATTACGTGTTTATTTGTGTTTTCCACAAATTTCATTTGCCAAGTTTTACTTCTGGCTAAAACGACAGCTCATTATTTACTGTATCTGATTTCCTGACTTTGCTTTTGTTTTACAGGAATTCTGTTGTAAAGGAGTCACAAACAACATCAGAAACAACTATTCGTCTTCGAGGTAGAGAAATGGATTTACCATATGGAAGAGGTGGATCCGGTGATGAAGAAGCTTCCGACTCTCGAAAGGGCAAGAAGCAATATCATCGTCACTCTGCACAACAAATTCAGCATCTTGAAACGTACTATTGATTTTTACAACTCCTGCAATTATTGAGATATTTTATTCTCTGTCGAAACTTGTTTTTTTTTTTTTCTTCAATTTGGTTTTTCTAAGCCTTCATTTGCACGGCCGATCAGACCTTTTTTGCATTTACACGACGCATTTGAAACAAATTTCTCTGTTTTTGTTATTATTTGTCATGGAGAATTTCAGTGATTTCATTCTATTATTTACAGAGATGGAGATTGGTAAATATTTTGATGCACATTGACAAAAGAAAGACATTTTTCATCTTTGATCTATTAACTTAGGATCGAGAAGGTTTTTGAAAATTTTCCGCAACTAAAAACTTCCAGAGTTTCAAAAGGAAATATAGGTTTTTGTCGTGATAACTTGTTATAGAAAGTTTAATAAATAAAATTTTGATCCTGTAAATTCGGACCGTGATCATGTTTCTAATGGATCACTTTTATGAACTTCTTGGTTGATGTTTTGGAACACGTGTACGATTTCTTGAATTTCTACTATCGTCGATCTCATAAATGTTTATTTTTTCTCCTCTGATTTTCTGGTTAATGATTTTTTTTGATTTATGACACTCTTATAGGTTTTTTAAGGAATGCCCACACCCTGATGATAATCAGAGACGTCAATTGAGCACCGAACTAGGCCTTGATCCTAAGCAGATAAAGTTCTGGTTCCAAAACAAAAGGACTCAGAAAAAGGTGCTCTATTGTGTGTATATACTCGATACATGTATTCTGATTCTCATATATATATATATATATATATATATATATATATATATATATATATATATATATATATATATATATATATATAATGTAAATATATTAATTCATCCACGTGAAAATCTTTTCTGACATTTTTTTAATGTTGCCCTTTTTTTTACGTGTCTCATGTTTCATATGCATTGATGATGTTTTAATGATTTTTTTTTTTGGGAATATATTGCAGGCTCAGAATGAGAGAGCTGACAACAACGCCCTTCGGGCTGAAAACGAAAGAATTCATTGTGAGAATCTTGCAATGCGAGAGGCGCTGAAAAACATCATGTGTCCGGCTTGTCATGGTGCGGCTCTTGGGGATGAAGAGAGCCAGCAGAGTTTACAGATGTTGAGGATGGAAAATGCACGTCTGAAAGAGGAGGTGGTTTGTCTCTAAGCAATCCTTGCTTGTTTCTTAAAATTGTCTTACGTTAATTATATGACAGAGTGGCCTGTTTTTCTTTCAAGTTCCGTTATTGAGTACACGTGTATATCAAATAATCATGAAATAAATCACAGATTAACATTCGAAAGCATTGCATTAATTGTTATTAATCAAACATTTTGATATGTTTAATTTAGGCGAACTTCTTAACGTTTGTTTTATGACACTTGTTCAGCATGAAAGAACGATGGGGTTCTTTTCCAATTACGTGGAGAATTCAAACATGCCACCTGGTACTGAGAACTTGTCGAATGTTCCTGGAAATAGTTTTCCTGGCAAACGTGTGGAAACTACAGTCCCTCTTGATCATGAACAAATACCGAGACATCCAGAGATGATCAATTCACCTTATAATCCGAGTGGGATAAAAGAGATGGATAAATCCATCATCGTCGAGACAGCCATTGCAGCCATGGATGAGCTGGTGGAGCTATTACGTATGAAAGAACCAGTGTGGGTCACTTCTCCATCTGATGGGAGATATATGCTGCACCGCGACAGTTACGATAAGCTTTTCCCTAAGCCCAATCATTTTAAATCTTCTAGTGCTAGAATGGAATCATCGAAAGACTCCGGCGAGGTGGCAGCGCCGGCAATTAATTTAGTCGAAATGCTTCTTGATTCGGTATGAAATTTAAATCCTTTTCCAATGTGCTGTGTTCAATGTTCTGCTTTTAACTGAAAGAAATTGTATCTTGATGATTTCGCAGAATAAGTGGAAGGACATGTTTCCAACTATTGTTACAAAAGCAAGGACCATTGATGTACTTGATACTGGAAGTTTCGGCGGTTCTTTACATTTGGTAAGAACATTCAATTCTGTACTTATGTGTATTATTATAAAATTTGTCTGGATAAAATTGTGTATAATAATTGTATTGATGCAGATGTATGAGAAAATGCACATTCTGTCACCTCTTGTGGCTCCTCGTGAATTCTTTTTCATTCGGTATTGCCGACAGCTTAGTGCAAGTAGTTGGGTGATGGTAGATGTTTCCTACGATTTCATCAAACAGATCCAAGATGCTGCCCCTACTCGCTCCTGGAAACTTCCTTCAGGGTTTATGATTGAGGAGATTTCAAATGAAAAATCAAACGTGAGTTCAATAAACTCCCACTTATTTTTATTTTTTTATTTATTTTTTATTTTTTATTTTTGTATTTGTCTTGGGTGGGGGTGGGGTTGTAAGGTAGACCCGCACTTGTCTTCATGTTCATTATATTATCTGATTTCCATCCTCAGCAGCTAATATTAAGATGACGATAAATTGATAATGGAAAAAAAAAAGTCATGAATAAGATAAATGATTTTAACAACGAATTCAAAAATCTTTGACGGGCACAAATAATATGTATAGAACACGTTCCTTAGTAATTAATGAATCTATTCTGGCAGAGAGTTATTTTGCTAGTGCATTAATGATAGTATGACGAGGAAGCTACATCTTGCATTAATATGACCGGAAACGTTTTGGGATTCGTGCTTATGTTTTCTGCAAGTAGAGATTTAGCTCAAAAGAATTTGATTTCATTGTGTTTTGTAATGCTACCACATAAGTAAACATTTGAAATGATTTTCTCGGTTCCATAGTTACGTATTTTAGATTTTGATGCAGTCGCTGATTTTTTAGATAGAGAAACTTGTGATTTGATCTATTTTAGCTGGAACTAAATATTAATAGAATGAGTTCAAAACACGTAGCTGCCACCAGCCATATGTGGATTTATGACTAAATAACATAGAAGCTTGGCATTCTTTATTTGTGCTTTCCCACATTATTTAATCCCCCAAAGTAATTGTTGTTTTACATTTTTAGCTTTAAGTTTTGTTGATTACTTCAACTTCTTAAAGTATCCGCATGTCGAACACGTTTCCATTGGACACCTGTCGGACAGTTGTTGAACCATTTTTATAATTTCAATAAATTAGCGACACGTCTCAATATCAAATCTCGAAATCTTTTTGGTGCTTCCTTAATTATTTACATGGTTTGATAATCAATTGCAGATTGATAGTTAATATTAATTGACACACACACACACACACAAATTTATATACCATAATTCATAAATATACCCCTATATCGACGACAACTAATTTTATTTGTTTCAACTGCGTTAATAATTTTCCATTGGTAACTATTTCCTTCCATTATGCATCTCCTTGATCACATACCACATACTATTGGACCTTTCTCTTCCTTATAGATTACATGGATCGAGCATATTCAAGTGGACGATAAAACGCTGACTCATCGTCTCTATAGAGACTTGGTATGCGGTTGTCAAGCATACGGAGCCAGAAGGTGGATAGCTACACTTCAAAGGATGTGTGAGAGGTTTACATATTCAACCGGGCTAACTGCTAGACCCACACATGAACTTGAAGGAGGTATTACTATGTCATCTATCCTACTTTAAAAGTAGGAACATTTGTGTTTTTCAACTTTTTGTTAGTACCTATATATATACTGCTACCACTAAATTAAAATATGAATTAGGTAAAGTGTGATTGATGTTACAACTAATGAATTTAATACATTATACTCCCTATCTTCACATGGTGGAGATTTGAAGGTTTGGAGTACTCTGTATTGTTTAGATTCTTATCAAATGTTTGTTTACATTGCATCTTTTAATGTTAATTTTACTATAATTATATAAAACTACGTGCAAATGCACGTTCCTCTTACTAGTTTTATTTAGTGTTATGATGGTATCAACCCTCAAAAATTGAGCATAAAATGGTTCTCGTTTTCTTTTTTTGTCCCAGTCATTGACTCATCTGAAGGTCGGAGAAACCTAATGAAGCTATCTCACAGAATGATAAAGAACTTTTGTGAAGTATTGGGAATGTCAGACAGACTCGACTTTCCTTACTTGTCAGAACTCAATAATAGTGGAGTTCGAGTCTCGCTTCGGAAAAGCGACGGACAAGGACAACCTGACGGTTTGATTGTCAGTGCAGCGACCTCTCTCTGGCTTCCGTTTTCAATTGAGAATCTCTTTAAGTTCTTTAGAGATGAGAAGAAAAGAGCCCAGGTTAGAATTTGTAGACATTATTTTTTTTTGGGTATAGAAACTCATAAATAGGTGTAGAAAGACTAAAAATGTATTTCCAATGCAGTGGGATATCTTATCGAGTGGAAATCCTGTGAACGCAATTGCACGCATCTCGACTGGCGCAGATCCTGGAAATTGCATCTCTGTTATCCAGGTTAGTTTCTGTACTTGTCGGTTGTGTTATATTGTTATTAGTTATTAATACCCTTATTCAATCCACGATACATGAGCAGATCACTGTAAATAATCTATAATCGTGAATTGTGTGACTGTCACGCTTATTTCATTACATGCATATGGATGGAGATTTGTTTTTTCAATTTTGGGATATGTTGTACATGTTAATATATAAAGGAATCAGAATTATTCGTGCTCTATGAAGTCAAACATGTAGTACAGTCAATGACTTTAAGAAGGTAAATAGGTATATAAAATTGTATTCTGAATGTGTATCAGTACATTCTTTATTCGTTTTAGGGCTATTGCTGCTTCTTGAGGTCCAACTTTTATATGTGCATATCCGTTTCCCAGTCGATTGCTACCAACATTTGAATGAGGCATGATTTGTTAGATTAATAATGCAACACTATTAAATCTGGAAAAATATCGAACTCATTTCTTGATTATGTGAACCATTTCGTTAACAGACTTCCAGATAATGCATGAAACTTAAATTACAAATTTCCGAGTCTTAATTCCAAAGCTGTTAATAAAAATTAAACTCATGAAATCACTTTCCTTGCAGCCGTTTGTGCCGAAAGAGAACATATTAATACTTCAAGAGAGTATCATAGACTCCTTGGGGGCAACTATAGTATACGCCCCGATAGATTTGCCAGCTGTCAGTTCAGTTGTGAACGGTGAGGACACTATGAAGATCCCGATCCTACCCTCGGGATTCATAATCTCGAGCGATGGCCGTTTCACGAGCAACAAGGGAAGTGGAGCTTCTGCAGCAACTAGTTCAAGCACACCAAGCGGCTCCCTCTTAACGGTCGCTTTCCAGATATTGGTGTGCTGCAGCTCTCGTTCGAAGCAGCTAAACATGGAGTCAGTTGCCACTGTGCACACTCTCATAAGCTCCACAATTCAAAAGATTAAAGTCGCTCTTGAGTGCCCGGACTTGGAATGAAGAATAATATGGCGTTATCTATTTATGCTCGGCATTTTATTTTTATTTTTTATTTTCGTGCTCTTATATGTTAGCATAACTTGACTTTTGTGTTGAAGAATTTAGACTGTGAGATCAATTTGCTCTAACTATTCGTGTTTTTAATTGTGGCGAGAGACATGTAATTCGACTTTTGATTTTGAGAATGTTTACAAAATTAACCTCATCTAGTTATACTCTTTAGTTTTGAAGGCATATTATTATCTCTCTCTCTCTCTCTCTCGTTTCTTGTTATAGTTGATCTTAGTTTGTGGAATAGCCAAAGTGAATTCGAAATCTTATTGCTTTCGCTTTCGTGTAGTTATTACAGTCGATGGTTATCATATGATTGTTTCGTAATAGAATCATGTATTAGAATATTGAATAGAATGATATAACGACTGCGCTCGTTTTGAAGTAAAGTTCGAAATAGTGCAGATTTTTTTTTTTTTTTAATTTTTTAATAAATATTTTTAATTCAATAATAATTCATCTAACATAATGTTGGAAGTTGGCCAAAAATTCTTGAATATCCAATAGTGTGTCTGCTTGTCTCTGCATGCAAATACATTAGTTTAAGTGATGTTTGTATTTCCAACTTCATCATTGGTGTTCCCAACCTCATCTAGATTCATCTAAATTAATAGTAGTGAATATAAAAAGGAGTTGTTGTAAATTGTATCGGATGATAAATTAGGGGGTTTGGTGGGCCAATTAGTAATTTACATACAAATGCAAACTAAGTAGAATATAAGGGTAAATCACGGAACCCCCTGAGGTAAGGTCAAATCACGAAAAAATCCTTCATGTTTGGATAATTACAACAACTCCTCAACTATGAATCTTCTTACACGTCCACACTTGCGGTGTCAAATTTAGTGAAATTTTCTAGCTTATGTGGAATATTCTCCAGTTTGTACCCATTTTACCCCATTCGAGCTCCACATTTTGAAACAAGATGATCATAAGATGTGTATCTTGGCTTGTAAATATCAGATTGTGGTGCATTAAAAACTGCATTTTTGCAGAAAACGAGTACACACTAAAGAACATTCCACGGAATCTAAAAGATTATGTTGAATTTGACACCACAAGGGTGGACGTAAGAAAAAAAATTTAGTTGAAGGTGGTTGTATTTACCAAACTTGAGGGGTTTTTTCGTAATTTGACCCGAGTCGCCGTAACCCTTATATTCTATTTATTTTGCACTTGTATGTAAATTACTAATTGGACCTAGTTTGCACTTGTATGTAAATTACTAATTGGACCCCCAAACTCGCTAATATATCATCTGGCTCCTCATTTCTCTCTCTCTCTCTCTCTCTCTCCAGACTCCAGCGCCGCACTCATTTCTCTCACTGCAAATTTTCATTCTTTTATTTTGATAAAAAAACCCGGTTCATTCTCCGGTTGGGTTGACCGATTCGACCAGGTTGTTTTACTGGTTCTTGGCCATCCGACCCGGGTGTTCACGTCGAACCCGACCGGACTGCTAACGGTTCCCAGTTTAACCGGATGAACCGGACGGTTCGGTTATGAGAACAACATTTTACATGGACCCAGGAAGTTTGTAGCCGTGAATTAGCAACAAAATATCAAACAAAATTCCGTCGTCGTTTTATGGTTGTTTAACCAGTACACTCAAAAACATTCTTATCAAGAAAAAAGAAAAAAAAAAAAAAAAAAAAAAAAAAATCAAACAACGGACCTCAATTTTTCTCGCATATTCTCATGATTCCCCGGACCCAAATTCCACCCACGTGATTTATCTGCTTCAACAGTAGTATAAATTTAAGGTACAAAAATTAATCATTTCATCACCGCCATTAACGCACACCTCACAAACCTCACTTATCTTCTGTGTACTGGTAAGCAGCTTCCATTTTTTTTTTTTTTTCCGATTATTACTCGTCTCCAAATCTTGATTCTTTTTCTTTCTTCTTTTTTTTTTTTTTTTTTTTTTTTTGGTTCGATCACATTTTATTTCGGTATGTATTAATGCTAATGATTAATGATTTTGCTGGTTTTTTTGAGATTTTTTTTTTGGTGGAGTTTCACCTTCTTTGATGCAATTCGAACTCGAAATAGAGTGTGTTATGATTTATGAACTTATGATCATGGTTCCCGGCAAAAGTGGCGGTACACTGTCGTGTCGTCGCGGACACTGCTGTTCCAGTTCCATTGCAGTGTCGCGGCTGGAACTGACAAATGTTAATTAAAATGTAAAAAAATTAGAATTAATGTCGAATAAGTTTTTAATGTTAATATTACAGTAGAATAATAATATACAAACTACCATTAAAACTCCATTTTTTAATTTTAGAACAAAATTCTTCAAAACCTTGAGAAGTGTATAAATAATTGGAATTTGTTTATTATGATCTGATTATTTCATAACTTATGATCAGTTAATAATTGGAATCTGTTTTCAGAATTCGAAAATCGAAAATACTATTGGATGTTTAAGGTGTCGAAACTTTTGGTATTTTGAATGCTTGAGCTTAACCGAAAAAAAGGGTGTGTTTGTGTAATTCTGATTATGTATATCTGTTGTTGTTTATAGTTATACAGATATGGCAACAGTAACAGCTTCGCAGTTCGTGTCGCATATAAATGGAGGAGCATCTTTAGTAGATTCCATGTCAAATTTGTCCCAAATTGCCCTCAAGAGCCAACCCGTCGTAACTCACAACGGATTGCGATCATCACTAACCAACAGGGTCGATATGCTTCTTCTCAAAACCAAGAAGAACAATGTTAAACAACAATGGAGGACCACAGTGAAGAAAACCGAGAATGACGTGGCGTTGTCCGGAAATATTATATGTGGGGCCGGGATGAACTTGGTTTTCGTCGCAGCCGAGGTTGGTCCGTGGAGCAAAACTGGCGGTCTTGGTGATGTTCTTGGCGGTTTGCCTCCAGCTATGGCTGTAAGCATCTTTTTTTTTTTAATTATTATTTTTTTTAATTTTTAATTTTTAAAAATGATCGATTTTGATGCGTAGGCAAACGGGCACAGAGTGATGACTGTGTCGCCACGGTACGATCAGTATAAAGACGCATGGGACACTTCCGTAACTGTTGAGGTTTTAACTCTCTATCGATCGATCTCCGCACAAGCTGCGTTTCTTTTTATCGCAAGATTCGGTTGAAATTAATGATTGATCGTAGTATATTAATTACTACAGATAAAAGTCGGAGATAAACTAGAGACCGTCAGATTCTTCCACTGCTACAAGCGTGGAGTCGACCGTGTTTTTGTTGACCATCCAATCTTTCTTGAGAAGGTGTGTTTTATATATGCAATTCATTACTCGACGATTATTTATATCCCGGATCGATCTTACGTTTGTCGTGTTTTTTTTTGTACGGCTAAAGGTTCGTGGAAAAACAAAATCGATGATTTACGGCCCTAATGCCGGAACAGATTACCAGGATAACCAACTGCGTTTCAGCTTATTGTGTCAGGTCCGATTTAATCATGTTTGATTTTCTAACGAAGCATATATTAATATCATTTAATGGTTGTTAATTAGTTTAGCATGTTCGTTCTGTTGCGACTCATAGGCTGCTTTGGAGGCTCCGAGGGTTTTGAATCTAACGAGCAGCAAATACTTCTCAGGACCATACGGTTCGTATCCTCGGCATTAGGTTTACGATAATCAAGCCGTTATTTGCCGAAAAAAATAAAATAAAAAAAATAAATGAAATCGGAGTAGTGCCTCATCCTCGATATTTTCTTCGTTTTAGGTGAGGATGTTGTCTTCGTTGCTAATGATTGGCACACTGCTCTGCTTCCATGTTACCTCAAGAGTATGTACCAATCCCGAGGAATCTACACCGATGCCAAAGTAACGAGATAATCAATTCATTATTTATATATATGTGTGTGTGTGTGTGTGTGTGTGTGTGTGTGTGTGTGTGTGTGTGTGTGTGTGTGTGTGTGTGTGTTAAGGACTAATTTGGAATTGTATAATTGCTAAAAAAGGTTGCATTCTGCATACACAACATTGCCTATCAAGGAAGATTCTCGTTCGCGGATTTCAGCCTTCTTAACCTACCCGATCAGTTCAGAAGTTCGTTCGATTTCATCGACGGGTATGAAAATAAAATGCAAGCATATATAATAAAATATGCATGGCTATGAAAAAAATTGCCGGTTACTTGTTTTCAGGTACGAGAAGCCGGTGAAGGGACGTAAAATAAACTGGATGAAAGCCGGGATATTGGAATCGACGAGCGTTGTGACTGTGAGCCCTCACTACGCGGAGGAACTCGTTTCCGGCGTCGACAAAGGAGTCGAGCTGGACAATATTCTACGCAAGACTTCCGTCAGTGGTATCGTAAACGGCATGGATATTCAAGAGTGGGACCCGGCTAGTGATAAACACATCGATTGTAACTACGACATCACAACTGTAAGATTTTTACACGGATCATATTTTTATTTATTTTTTATTACAGAATTAATTAATGACTTGATTTTCAGGTAACGGATGCGAAGCCATTGTTGAAGGAAGCACTTCAAGCACAAGTAGGTTTGCCGGTGGATCGGGAGATTCCCGTGATTGGATTTATAGGAAGACTCGAAGAACAAAAAGGCTCGGATATTCTCGTCGCTGCCATTTCTAAGTTTATCGGGATGGATGTTCAGATAATCATCCTCGTAAGTAGTAAATCACTTTTTTTGTAAGGATTTATAATACTGCAATAATAAGTTAATGCAGTCGAGATTAACAAAATTCTATTAATTTAGCGAAATAATAATTTAGCAAGTTATTAATTTATCGAGCAGGGAACTGGGAAGAAGAGTTTCGAGAAGCAGATTCAACAGCTCGAGTTGTTGTACCCTGATAAAGCTAGAGGTGTGGCCAAATTTAATGTACCGTTGGCTCACATGATAACTGCTGGTGCCGATTTTATGTTAGTTCCAAGTCGATTTGAACCTTGCGGTCTCATCCAATTACATGCCATGCGATACGGAACGGTACGTAACTTTTTAAATTTTAATTTTTTTAATCCTTAAATTTTAATATATATATTTTTTTTTTCGTATGGATCAGATACCGATCTGTGCTTCGACCGGTGGTCTGGTTGACACGGTGAAAGATGGATATACGGGGTTCCACATGGGAGATTTTAATGTCGAGGTTTGTTAAACAATTATTATTTTTTTTTTTTCCTGGAGTGTCGATTTAGTAAAACATCGAGTACAATTTGTTTCAAAGATACTAATTGTTTTTTGTTCTTTAAATGTTGTGTCGAAGTGCGCCACTGTGGACCCCACGGACGTACTAAAAATAGCCACAACCGTTGAAAGAGCTCTCGCGGCGTACGGTACCGTTGCCTTCGAAGAAATGATTCAAAATTGCATGTCGCAAGATCTCTCGTGGAAGGTACCTAGTTATCAAACAATTTTGATTTATTTTGAACATCATATACTACTTTAATACAGTTGGGACCAACCAAATTCTATTAATTCAGCAAAATTATGTTTCAGCACGTCGTCTTTAAGTCGTGACCGAGAAAACAATATAAAATTAAAACGAAATTATTAATTCATCGATGTTCTACAAGATCTCTCGTGGAAGGTACCTAGTTATCAAACAATTTTGATTTATTTGGAACGCATATACTTTGATACAGACGGGACCAGCCAAATTCTATTAATTCAGCAAAATTATGTTTCAGCATGTCGTCTTTAAGTCGTGACCGAGAAAAAAAATATGAAATTTAAACGAAATTATTAATTTATCGATGTTCTACTGTATGTATACATGCAAGCATGCATATTCGAATTAATTAATGGCATTATTTTTTCGTATTTATTGAATTATAGGGACCGGCAAAGAAGTGGGAATCACTGCTGCTAAGCTTGGGGGTGGCAGGCAGCGAACCCGGTATTGAAGGCGACGAAATTGCTCCGCTTGCAAAGGAAAATGTCGCTACTCCTTGAAAAACGCATCTAAGATTTGGCTCGACAAAATTGAAGTTTGACTTTTCAGAGGATCGAACGAACTAGTTTGTATAATCGTTTTATTAGATTTTTAATTAAGGAACGAACGAGCTTATTATTATTACTACGCTCGTCGCTTTGATTTTACTATTGTCTCGGTTAATCGACTTTGCCTCATGTGATCAATATTAGATTCATCTGATCAATTGCATAAAATTGTGTTATGAATGTGGATTTATTATATTCTCTATTCATAGGGCACAATTTTTAATCAATTGCCAACCAAATGAAGTATAATGTTTGAGATTAATATTGAAACACTATATCTGGAAAATTATGGAACTTATTTCTTGATAAAAAATGGCCAAGTAGTGGTGATAATTATTTAGTGCTCACTTGAGAATATTCTTCAAATTTATTCGACAACTGAATATATCAATAATAAGAATATGATTTTCTTTTCCTCTAAAAAAAAAAAAGAATATGATTTTCTTTTATTCATTTTAATTTTATTTATTAATTAATGAAACAACGTATAATAATTTTTTTTCAATTTAATAAAATTCACAGATAATATTTAATTTATGACTAAAAACTATGTAGACGAACACAGAAACCACAATACGGGGAAACGACTGCGTGGAAACGTCATGTCCCAAAAATGGGGATACACGAACTTGAGAAAACGTGTAAATATTAAAAGGATATGGGTATATTTATGAATATGGTATATAAACATTTATATAAGTTTTTATTTATATATAAATTATTTTTATACAAACATATTCAAAATAAATTTTACTATCAACTATGAATTCGCAATTGATTACTAAATTATGTAAATAATTAGAGAAACAACAATATTTGAAAATTTGTTATTCAAACGTATTCCTAACTTTTTAGAAATTGTAAAATGACCTATAAGGTATCCGACATGTGTCTTCGAATTTCCGACACGATACGCTACGTTTCCAAAACGCGGAAACATTAACAAGTTGAAGTTTCCGTGATACATAGCTAAAAAGTAAAAAAAAAAAAAGAAACCCATATGAATCACGCGCAACATACGTGTAACAATGCTTTGTTCTTCTATATCTCTAGAGTCAATAATTTTATACGACGAACTACTGAACTCAATCACTTGCTGCCGTTACTCTTCAATATTCTGTTGGGCTGGTCTATCTTCTAGAGGTAATAAAATCGGATCCTTCTTCTTGCTCTTCTTCGAGAGAAATTATTGAATGAATAATTACTACAAAAAAGTAAATTCGTAAATTCGCATTTCAACATGAGTCGCATCCGTTTATCCCTTTATTAACTAAAATCAGAACAATTTATTGATTTATTTCATAACCCCTCAACAATGAAACGAAATCAAGACATAACTTTCCGAAAATGTTTATACGGGATACACGAGTTTCCACATTGTTCCAGTTCGCCATAACACAAATCATCAAAAACACAGCACCAACAGTGATCTAAATGATATGTACATTCTTCAGTAGAATATGAACAATACTTCATTTGCTTTTCTCCATTAATTTTTGCTAGCATTTCTCTGGTATTATCAACACCTGTTGAATTTAGATTGGAAAAAAAATGTTAAAAAATTATTCAGATATATTCAAATTATTCTTGTGAAAACGAGCTAACAAAATAAAAATTGAATTAAATTTCATGAAAATAAGACTAATGAAAAAACCAATTTAAAATAATAGTACAATTAAATGTATATATTAAATCAATTTATGAATTAAGAGTGAAAAAATGCTTTATATTTCTCGTTGGTTGAGTTGTTGAGCGTGAGATTGATACTTCAACCGTTGGTAAATGGGATGACTAATTAATAATCATCTAAAATGAGATTAAAATAGTCAAAATAAAAAAAAAATATAGAAATAAGAAGATCGATTAATTTGACTTTCAATCTTAACATTGCAATTTCATGTTGGATTCATGATAATTCATTTTTTTATTAATGCAAAATCATTTTGATAAATACATAGTGGATACGTGGATTCACTATGGTCTATGAATCCGAATTTTGGTGCATTTCAATCGAATCTAATCGAATTGAATTTCAATTGGATCCAGGGGAACCGAGTTCATTTGGACTAGACATATTTATAAATTTTAATTAGGGGTGGAACTCGGAATGGAATTTTCGAATTTTGCCAATTCCGTTTCGAAAGTATCCGACTTTAGAACTGTATTTTTTTATTTCGATTTTTGAAGTTCCGATTTCCAATCTGAAATTAGTTCAGAATATTTCTATGTTTTTTTTTTGAAATATATAATATAATTTTAATATATATTTTGTAAACCCATAATATAACATATGTTATATAGGGTAAATTACAAACACCCCCTGAGGTATGGTCAAATTACAAAACCCCCCCTCTTGTTTGGATAATTACATCTACCCCTCTCAACTATGATTTTTTCTTAGACCTCCACCTTTATGGTGCCAAATTCAACATAGTCATCTAGATTCCGTGAAATGTGCTCTAGTTTGTTACTCTTTTTGTGTAAAAAATACAGTTTCCGATGCACCACAAACTGATATATACAAGCTAAAAATCACATATTATGGTCATCTTGCTTCATAATGTAGAGTTTGAATGGGATAAAACGGGTACAAAAGTGATAATATTCCATATAATCTCGAAGATTCCACTAAATTTGATGAGTTGAGGGGGTGGTTGTAAAAATTTTCCATCAAACACCAGTTTCGATTGACTCTGTCCAATTTCCAGCCTTAATCCTAATCCCTAATATCAATCCAAAATACGTAAACTAAAGAGGTTTGAAACGTGAATCTACATATAATACAAAAAGAAAAAGAAAAACAACTGGAACTTACACTCGTGAGAAACGAAGAAGGCAACAAGGGTCATAGAGAAGAAAATAAAACGAGCAATATTGCCTGAAGCCATTGAAATATTTGTAGAATGAATTTCATGTTGCGTGTTTACTCACAATTTATAGCTGTCAAATAAAGCAAATTGTGTTCACTTTATTTGATATATAATACATTGCTAAAATTTCATTAGTTTGCTTTATTTGATTTTCTTTCTTTTATTTTTTCAGTTGATTTTGTTAATTTGATTAATAGATATGTAAAGTAAGGAATAAGATTTTGTTAGTTTATGACTTTATGTTGAAAGGCACGTCACTATTAGCATTATTTTTAGTAGCATTATTAATCTATACGGTATATATCTATATCTATATAATCTATAAAATATGAATTCTATCATTAATTTTTTGATATTTGACAATTTTAATTGGTGACATGTCCTCAGTTTTATCACATATGACAAATTGATCGGTGAAAATAAACCATCAAAAAACATGTCACTATTATGATTCATTTTGGAAATTTACAAATTCGGTTATGGAAAGTAATTAATGTATAAACTATAAATCATAAGCAAGCATATGGAATTTACAACTATATTGTGTTACAATTGTATCTGGGAATGGCAATGGGGCTGGTTTTGCAGTCCTCATTCCCGCCTCGCTATGAAAATCCCCATCTCTGTCAAAATCCCCGAAGTTTATAAAAAGAATCCCCATATTCGCCCATAAAATCCGCACGGGTATTAGGGCGGGTAAAAATTCCCGTCTATGTCTCTGTCTTTTTTTTTTTTTTAATAAATAAATATGCAATTTACTTATAATTTAAGTGAAATACTTTTTACGGTTAAAAAATTGCTATTAACGTTCATAACAAAAAACACTTTATCTCTCTAAAACCCCAAAGCCTCCCAAAAAACCCCAAAACCCCCCAAACTGCAAATAGCCAAAAAAAAAAAAAATTTTGAAAATTCGAAATCAAGCTTGAAGAAGGGTTGGGCTTCGATTTTTTGAGGTAATTTCGACTCCTTTATGTGTAATATGCATTGGGTAGGTCGATTACATAATCAATTTCATGTTAAAAAGCCCTACAAATCGATTTGTAAGGCATTTTTTTTCCTCGCAAAAATATGTCAGAACGCCCAAGATGGGCGTTCAATTAATTAAATTTTTTTTTTTTTTGCACTGGACGCCCAACTCGGGCGCCCAAATGCTGCTTGCACGCCCAACTTGGGCGTGCACTGCATAAATGGGCGTCCAAGTTGGGGTTTTACGCGTTTTGCCCAGTTTTTTTGATCGAAAAGACGAAATTTTTACCTCTTTTATGTCGGGTATCCCAATCTTTATCCGATGAGCTCATTTAAGTTTGTATATCACACCAATAAGAATGATTTTTTAAGCAAATTCCCTTCTAAAGCTTTTGAGAGGTTTTTTTTGTAGCGAGATAGAGGTTTGGAAGTTATGAACCGTAAATAGCAATTTTCAATCTGTAAAAAGCAAATCCCTAATTTAAAGGCTTATTTCAACAAACAAACAAATATTTAATTATAATACTAATATTAATTATATAATCGAAACGTAAAATTTCTCATTTGTAACTAATATTTAATATATTACTACTATTTAATTATTTATATTTAATATAATAATTAATAAAAAATATGTATATATATATATATAATGCGCGGCGGGTACGGGTGCGGGTGTAGGCAAACCCGTCCCCGTACCCGTAATCGTACTCGGTAAAAAGCAATATCAATCCCCATATTCGCCCCATTTTTTTCAGGGCGGGTAATATCTGAAAATCTCGGGGCGGGTCGGGGCGAGGATCCATCGGGACGAGTCTAATTGTCATCCCTAATTGTATCAAACTAATTATTTATGAAAGTATACTGATTCTCTTCCTTTTATTTTTCCGGTAGATTCTTTTTTTAATAATTTAATTTTATGCAAACACTTCATTTCAAATTATGAAACATTAAATCGGAAAAAATAAATTACCAGGCTGAATAAATAATCTATATTTATATAGTTAGTGGTATTAATTTTTTTGCATACATAGTTAGTATTAAATTACTATATATTGATTGTGGTAAATAGAATACTAATAGGACATATTTACCAACCCTCATTAGGAGAGTTGGTACCTAGCCTTTACCAATAGGGTAATGGTCTAGCGTTCGAGTCCCCCCCTCCCCTACTTCCCCTTGTAATGGACTTGAATTTACTCAAAAAAAAAAAAAAGAATACTAATAGGACATATTTATAATATATTAAATGCAAGAGTACAATATTGTGTGATTTGTTAACATTTTTATTTTATTTTGTGTAAAAAATTATGTTGATTGATATTTAAATTAGAACAATTTGACTAATCTAATGACCGGTCATTATTAGATTTGTATCTTGACTGAAATACGTCGAAGTTATACTAGTTTTGTGATTTTTCTAATGAGTAATATCCGATTACAACTAAATCGTTATATTATTATATAAATATTGATATTTTGATTTTCACACTCTAATTTCTTTTTTTTTTAGTCTTTCATTTAGAAAACACATGCATTAAAATCGTATTTTTTCCCACATGGCCGAAAATTATATAATAATTGCCTAAATTATTTTTCAATTTTCCTTCATCTTATTTACTTCATCCCATAGCACTAAGTATTATTTTTTGTTTAGTCATTGATCCATATATATATATATATATATATATATATATATATATATATATATATATATATATATATATATATATATAATGGAGGTCTCGTGCAGCATGAGAAATTTAAAAAAAATGAAGAAGTCTTCCTCTGTAGGACGGGAACCTAGGTTTCCGTGCCCCAGAGGACGGGAAACAGGGGAGGTTCGTCGTCTGGGGCACGAGTAATTTATTTATTTCTCTCTTCTTCTTTAACTTCATGTTCTTACAAACCCTCTAAAAAAATCTCAAAATGCAAAACCACACAAAACTTATAAAATGGAGTCACAAATACATCAAAATGGTAGTTTACATGGTAGGAGAACCCAGTAAAATATGTATACATGTATCTTTTGAACTTGGAAGTCGATTTTGAAGTTTTTTTTGTTAACCCATCGACAATTTTCGACACATACAGATCGATTTTTGGTCAATTTTGGACACCAACATGTCGAAATTTCGCAAAAAATCAACATGTATGTGTCGAAAAATCACTGCTTAAAAAAATCTTAAAGCAACAGTGGTTTTCGACACATACATGTCGAAACTTGGATTTTATTTTTTTTACTATATTTTTCGACAAGTTGGTGTCGAAAATTGACAAAAATAATCGACATGTAAGTGTGTCGAAAATTGTAGACGGCGGGTTTCAAAAAAGAAAAAAAAAATCAAAATCAACTTCGAAACTCAAAAAAAGACATGGATGCATACCTTAATGGTTTCTTCTTGGTCGTAAACTACCATTTTGTTGTCATTTGACTCCGTTTTGTAATTTGTATGAAGTTTTGATTTCTTTACTTTCGAGATTTTTTAGAAGGGTTTGTTGTGAGGAAGAATAAGGAGGAGGTTGAGGGGTTTGTGAAGAAGAGAGGTTTGAGGGGTTTTGTATGTTTGGTATTGAATAAATAAAAATGAGATTTTTAATGCTTTTGGTATTGATTTTCATCAAGGGTATTTATGTAATTACCTATTTATTATCTAATTTTTATTTTGGTGGTATTGAAGTGATAAAATTTTGATAGTATTTTAAGCTGCCCCCTACGCTGATCAAATTCAAAAACAAATATGATAATATACATACGGATCTTCAAAAGAATAAATGACACATAATTCGACATTTACTCCTTATCAAGTCAATTATATTTTATACCCTTGTTAAATAAAAAATCTAATAAAATATAGTTTATCTGAAAGAATGAAATATAAATTGAGTCTCTATTAATGAAATTAAAGATTTGAGGGGATTTTCTCATAGAGCCCCAATTAATAAATTAAAATAAAAAATAAAGAATATCTTCGAGTCCTATTACATATCTATTGCTATTAGTTTCTTCAATATATACAAAACCCTTAAACGACCGTTATTTTTAAACGTATAGAACAAATGAGTATATAGTATAGGATATATCTTAGGTTGCGGCTATATGCAAGACTAAAACAACTTGTGCAAGACCAAATTAAAATTTTCAATGTATAAATACTATAATACCCTTACTTGTTAAAAAAATAGAAAATCCTAAATGTGCAAGACCAAAAATTTAAAAACACAAAAAACCCTATCACAAGACCACAAAACCACAAGACCAACTCTCATCTTCTCCATCTTTCAAAACCCACAAGATCTTTCTCCTTCATCCCCCTCCCCATAAACCCACAAAATTTAAACATTCAAAATCATCAAAGCTCAACAAATCTTACAAAGATGGCAAGTATGGAGTTAGAAGACATCAAAATAGAAGATTCTACGGTAGAAAAACCAAGAAAATATGCAATTTTGGGTTTTTTTAGCTAGAATATCGTTTTTCCAAAGAAAATCCCGCACAAACAAATTCGACATATACAGGTCGAATTTGATGGGTAAAAATCGACATTTAGATGTCGATTTTTAGGCATAAAATTCGACATTTGGCAATGTCGATTTTTCCCTATAAAATTCGACGCGTAAGTGTCGATTGGTAACACAGTTTTTCGACACCTTGGTGTCGATTTTTACCAGTTTCAAATTTAATTTGTTTTTCCTCTTTTTTACACATTTTGAGTTTTATCGAATGGAGGTTCTGCAAATGCAAGTCATGAATATTCTAATGGCACTTACGAAGAGGCTTGACTATGTTTGATTTTGTTGCAGGATTTTTTTTTCTCAATGTAATATTTTAGAAACAAGATTCTGGTTTTCTTGGCTCATATCAGCAGATGTTTCATTTGGACAACCCTCTGTAATTACAAATTACAGTTGAGTTTAGAAAACTTTTGTTGTTATATAATGGATGAATTACAGAACTTATTATTGAGGTTTTAATAGTCAATTTAAAGTCTATATACTACAACGAAATGTTTCCGGAAGAATCTGGAAAAATAAGAACAAAGTTGACGACTAAAAGTCCTCGTCAGTTTTTAACTCGTAATTCTTGGAACCCGCTTGGAGACTTGACATCACAGAAGCCTTCTCTCAAAGAAGTTTGCTTTTACTCTGCATAATCGAGTCAAGTCATACCAATGAGTGCACACGCTAGTGCATCACAAACAAATTCGATCTCGATTTCAACAGCCTCTTGCACATTAAGATGAACCCTCTGCATATGAAGTTGCTTCCTTAGTAAACTGCAGAATCGAGTAAAAAAAAACCTAAACTAGTCAACTCCTTCGGGATTAGAATTCAATAATCTCAACAATCGAAACAAGAATTATAAAATCACCTGTATAATAAGCAAGCAAAGTCACAGTGGAGACCCTTGTCTCTAGAAATAAGCTCGTTCGAAATGTCAATCCCGGCCTTAATCCCCTCTTTTTAAGCCAAAAAATAGCACATAAGCTGAGATATAACACGAAATTAAATCATTTAACTTTACAAATTTAGACCACAGAAGGGAATATCGTTCTATATCGTAGGTATTATATTATACCTTCCGGAGAAGAATATGCCTTCAATACAAGCAAACGCAACAAGTCTCTCTGTAAACGAGCTAGAACTGCATTAAATAAATAATTAAAAAAAAATCAGTATTAGCAAACTCATCGAAAGTGCGTATACAGAGAATCGCAAGAAATAATATACCTTTTATTAAAAAAAAAAATAATAAAATAAAAAACAAACAGTTAAATTTCGACATCTATATGTCGATTTTTTACCATAAAAATCGACACCTTGGTGTTGATTTTTATGAGTGTTTCTCAACATCTTGTAGATGTCGATTCCTCATCAAAAAATCGACATCTTGGTGTCGAATTGTATGATAAGAAATCGACATCGTTAAGATGTCGAATCATAGCATACAAAATCGACCTGCAAATGTCGAATTTTTCCCTTGAAAAACGACATTTGCAGGTCGAATGAAAATGAAGAACAACAAATCAAAAATCTGCTCTCCAGACAACAATTCATCAACGAAAGCTTCTTAATGTCATTTTAACATAATAAAACTATGGATTTATCAAATTTAAATAACCATTTTCGAAATTTTCAAACAAAGTTCATAAATACCTGCGGCGTCGGCGTCGGCGACGGCGTTGCTGGGGCAGGTTTGGGTCACTCATGATTGTGAGAGGCGGCTTTGGCGGCGGCGGCGATCAGTGGTGGAACTTGGGCGGCGGAAGTTTAACGGCGGAGAAGGTGGGTGTGAAGAGGGGGGCTGTTTGTTTTTCCAATTCACGCACAATGTTTTTTTTTTTTTTTTTTTTTTTAGTTTTTTGTTTTGTTTTTGTTTTTCCTCATTATTTGTATTTGGTCTTGCATGAGAAAAAAAAAAGGCAATTTAACATATGGGTATATTTGTCATTTCATCTCAATAAAATAGAATCTTTTGGAATTTTTCTTTAATTTGGTCTTGCACAAGTGGAATTAGTATTGTATATAGCCGCAGCCTATATCTTATCCAACCATTATTAGGAAAGTTGGTACCTCGTTCCTAATTTGTAACAGGATTTGAACATTACTATTAAAACCAAAAAAAAAAAAGGTATAAGATATATATTCAAATATAAGAAAATCATGGTCGAAATAATTAGATCAAAGCATAGGAAATAATAATATTTGCAAATGCAACAATGTAACGTCATATAAACTAGGAAAGTGAATCTCTTCACACACCAAAGCTGGACAACAATTTCTTCAACTTACATCACATTTTCATGTGGGTAATAAAAACAAATGAACTATAAATCTCTAAAACTTAATGATAAAATCCTGACGCAAATATTTTCAAAATCCATTTGCTAAAAGTTAGCAGATTCCTCGATAGCAATCCACCAAATTTTCCGGATGAAAAAAAAACGAAAAAAACATATCACCACCGAAGTTTTTTGATTAAGATTCGACAATCAACCCATTCAACATTATTTGAACGGCAGCATCGTAAACAACTCTATCGTAATGCATCCCATCGGCAGTACAGTTTGTTCCAAACAATCGACTCAAAGCACCAACTTCGATTTTCAAAAAGGGCCCACCAAATCCACGTGAAAGCTTGGTCCTCGTAACCTCTTTTTCGTAAGAACTGCACATTGCCTCGTTCATCTTCTCTCTCTTCTCCTCCGTTTTCAACTTTTCTCTTATCAAAGTCGGCATCCCAACCCAAAACAAATGCAAACTCAAATTCAATTTCGAAGAAACGGGCAATAGGGCCAAAGCATTATCCCTCAAATCACTCAAAGATTCACCGTACTCGGGCGGATAATTCCTGTATAGCATATCCCACAAACCGGCCCCCATCACCAAAACATCCGGAAGATTCCTACTCGCGTGCATCTCCATTACAAGACCGGTCAAATTCCTGACAAACGGGGCCCACACAAAGTCCAGCTTCATATCGATCTCTTTCAACGTAATCGAATAAACGGTGCGCGTTTTATACAAATCGATTATTATACTCCCCACGGCATCGGTCCATCCCCTAATCAAAGCTATCAAAGAAATAGCTACCAGCCTCGCTTGGGAGTCTCCGGCGATAACGACCCACGACCCGTTTAGCAAATACGAAGCATCCGACGCCTGCAACCCGTGGAACTCGCATCCTCTGACACTACCCGGTTCGATCCACTTCAACGGGTCGTCACAACCCGTTTTATTGTGAGCGTTGCTTTCTTTAATAGCGGTGTACATGACACTGTGGAAGAAAGAAAAGCAAGAATCAGAAGTTGGGGATGAAATTACCTCCGTTGGCGGTGAGAAAAATTCCGAGATTGAAGGAATATAATAAGGCATCAAATGGATGCACAAAGCAACGGTAACGAAGATGGTGCAGCTTAAGAAGAGCGTCGTATTATTACGGATCAAATGACCGCACGCCATAACAACCATGGACACGGACAGAACTATACAGACAGATCCCTGCTCTTTTACAATATCATTTACGAGTTTAAATGGTAAATTAGGTGGAGAAATTGAATGATGAAAATCGATTGTTTCTTAGTTTAGGGGAAGTTATTTATAATAATACCCCATGATTAATTAATTTCTAAAAATATAAATATATTTCTACAAAAGGTACTAAAACATATAAGTTTCGTAACTGTCGAGAGAGACATGTAATTGGGTTCGTAAATTAGCTTTTTATTATCGCCGGTTAAAAATGATTTAATTAGAGTTCGTTGTTCGCAAGAATTTTTAATGAATTCATTTCAATTTAATAAAATTACTAACACGGAGATTGAATAGCGAAAATACAAAAGAGCGTTTCGAACTCGTAATATTGAGTGAAGGAAAAGAAAAGATATTCAATCAATCTTTATAGAAAATAACCGATTTTCTTATCTATTTAACATATTTTTTTACAAATTAGACCTCGTATTTGACCGATTTTTAACTGTTTAACCAATTTAAGCTTTTTTCCAGCAACATATAATATTTGTTACCAGTTTAACCTATCATGCTTGCTTCTGAAAAATCTGTATGAAGATGGAGAATAACTCGGAAAGAAGTTTTGAAACTTGCGGTCACAAGAAAATCTTCATCCCGAATTAAAAAATAAAAACATAGGTATCAAAGAAAACCGAAAAATTAGCATGTCCAAGCCTCGATCAGAAGATTGAATGGTGTAAGGACCATAAAACAATTGACTAAAGTGGAAGAATCATAAGAAAAGTTCTCGATACGGTACCTTGCAAGAACAAGTCCTTTCACTTCTAAAAAACGAGCTCCACTTGCATGCATGTATGTACCTTCGATTCTTGTTTTTCAGGCAGAAGCTCTAATTCTGTTTAATGTTAGTAACATTTTAAAAGAGTGAATCGGGACCATACACAACGTAATTACACGACATGTAAAACAGAAAAGACAACCAAAAAAAAAAAAATTGCTCGCACAACAATTTAAGGGTATAAACGAATCGATTTAAGACAAACACATATCAAACTTTCAAAATTGTGTTTTGAACGTGGTTTGATAAGCAAGTGAGTCAAGTTAGATTGAACTTTAATCGAGCCAGATACGAATTGAGCTCGAGCAGCTTGATTTCTGTACACACTTAATCATTTTTTCGAATCTTATCTATGTTCTAATTTCAAGATAACACATAAAGATATCATATAATTCTCGTTGACGTGAAACATATCCAGATGGCACAATCTTGCTGCTAATATATATAAGTAAGATAAAAGATAATTGCATATAAACCATTGGGAAATCAAGTATAACTGACAAGCGCACGCACCTGTACAGAGACAGCTACAGATACCATCAATTCGAACCAAGTCCGATTTCAGCAATTCTGAAAGCTTCTCACGGCTGAACTAAACTTAAAATTAAAACTGCCGCTCCTAAACTTTAGGAACTGTGTAACTGAAACTACGTTGCGGATTACAAAGGGAAAACTTCTCGATCTCCGAAAAAATCAAATATTTTTGTCAAATGTATATCTTTTTCCCATTTGGAATGGAAAGAATCAAATACATTTCCGACCAAACAAAAGCTCAAAAACTTCGAGATTTAGAACAAAGAAACGGAAAAATAGCTGAACACCAAATACCATCAACTGAGATTCCTAAACTGAAAATATAAACACGACGGAGAACTGAAAATGGGATTTCAAGGTAAATTGCTGACCATAATCAATAAAAAAAGTGACGTTCGTTATAAAAAAAAAAAGAGCTTGTTCAGTTTGTCACTTTGGTAGTTTTCCATATTCAGTTAATTTTCAAAAATGATTATTCGGACTCGAATCTCACTTTTCTACAGTCGAAATTTGTCATGTTATGTAATAAGGTCGTACGCTAAAGATCGGACGACAGACTGCTGTTGTTGAATTTATTCTAGTCACAAAGATATACCATTGAACTCCAATGTTATACGAACAAACTCAAAATTAGCAATTATTTACGTTTTCTGCATGATTTACTTCCTCGTATAATAATTGGAAAAATGACTTATTTACCATTCGAAGCACAATGATAGCATGATTTTCAAGAATAAAATCCAAACGAATCCCAAAATATTACCATTCGAACCACATCTTATGAATATAATAAACTCTTTGCAATTTAGCTGAAAAAAGCATTCAACTTAACCATAGAAGATACATGATTTTAAGATTAGTGAATGCTTCCCTATTACATAATTATGGCACTGAAGTTATTAAGGTAATGCTAAATATAACATTAATTATTATAAAATCTGCAGTCTATCAGATCAAAAAAATAAAATATTTCTTTTTATTAAATATAGATAAACACGACTGTGGATTAGCAGGATAGCGATTACTGATTATTTGCTCAGATGCAATTAGTGAGAAGATATATAGGCCTGGTTTGGTTGCCAAGATAAGATTAACTAATCTAATGAAAACTCAATTATTTTATCCGACCTCGGGACATCCAACAAAAAAGCTCCCTAAAAAGTAAGATAAGCCACGATAACATAATATTTGTGGATCGACCCGACTAGTTATTGGGAATACCAAACATCAAATAAAGTCCAACTATTTAGTTTATCATGGCTAATCTCCCCAACCAAACGAGACCATAGTGTACATACTAACCATATTTCGTATCTGTAGCATATGGATTATGAATTCTAATACATAAGTTAAAGAAAGTCTTCGGTTGGCCAAGGCCTCTCCTAGCCACGATTAAAATAACCCAAAAAACGGACAAATTCTATAACAGACAGCTTCAATGATTTATGCTTTTTATAAGCTTCATACATAGGAGAAGGAAAAAAAAATTAGGATGCATATAGGACAATGTAAAATGAAATACAGTTGGAAAGCAAATCTCGACTAACCTTTTTTCAGGATTAAAAGCACGTATTCGAGGACCTGTTACAACACTCTGTATCTCCTCACACCGAAAATTGGCTGTGAGACGTGATAGTTTTTTTTTTCTAACTGATCGTATTACACATTTGTCGGTATCAGTCAAGATCACAAAAAACGTAAATCAAAACACCCTCCAATTACACTTAATGATAAAAAAATTCTATCATTACTCCTTCTCCACGGCAACCAATTTCTTGATCGAAAATTGAACTTCCATCACTCGAGTTTCTGATTAGATTCAATGAGCAACGCATTCAACATTATCTGAACAGTGGCATCGTAAACAACTCCATCGTAATGCATTCCATCTGATGTACAACGGGGTCCGCATAACTCACTCAACAAGCGGACATCGAGCTTGAAAAAGGGTCCACCGGATTCACGCCAAATCTTGCTAGTAGTAAGTTCATCTTCGTAAGAATCGTAAATCGCAGTGGTCATTTTCTCTCTCTTCTCATCAGTGTTCAACATTGTCGTTATCAACATAGGCATTCCGACCCAAAACAAATGCAAGAAACGGGCAGCGGGTTTAGAATTTCCAACATCCAAATTCGAAGAAACGGGCAAAAGTGTCAAACTATTATCCCTCAAAACTCGCAACGCGGAACCGTATTCAGACGCATTGTTCACGTGCAGCATATCCCACAACCCTGCCCCAACAACCATAACATCCGGAATATTCCTACTTCTCCTCAATTGCAAAACCAACTCCGTCAAATTCCCAACGTACGGAGCCCAAAAGAAATCCAACTTCATCCCGATTTCGTCCACTGTAATCGAATAATCACTGTGCCTCTTAAACAAATCCCCTCTTACCCTCTCCATAGCCTCATTCCCCATAACCAACTCCAACAAAGAAACAGCCATCAACCTCGCCTGCGAATCCCCAGCAACAACTACCCACGACCCGTTTAACAAATCCGAAGCGTCCGATCTCATCAACTTCTGAAACTCACAGCCCGCAACCCGACCCGACCCGACCCAATCCCAATCCCACCCCAACCGCTTCTCACAACCAATTCCACACTCTTTAATAACACCACCACCACTGTACACGACGCTGTGAAGGAAAGAAACGCAGGAATCGCGATTGGAAGGAGATGAGAGAGAAATTACCTGGGAAGGAGAGAGAAAGTCGGAGATTGAAGGGAAGTAGGGCATCAAATGGACGCCGACGGCGAGTGTGATGAAGAGGGCGCAGCTGAAGAAGAGCATCTTGTTGCGGCTCAAATGCCAACCCGCCATAGCCATCGGCACGAAGAGAACTACACAAGCCGCCAGTAGTCCAATATGGACGGCTCCTATCATTTTTTTGGGGAGATCAATTTACTCTTTTACATTTGGGGGATTTACTGATTAGGTTTGATCAGAGAATATTTTGATTTTGATTTTGTTTTCGGGTTGGATGGAGAGTGACAGTGACAGAGTAACGAAAGGGGGAAAGGTGGTTTTTGTGAGGTGAGATTTCAATGGCGGAATTTACAGAATGGATTTTTGATGGGAAATTTGCAGTGTGAATGATTATAATAGCGGTGGAAGAGAGGTGTCAAGAATTTGGGAAAAAAGACGAGAGAAAGTACAATTCATATTTGAAATCATTAACTTCATATATATTTTTTTTTTAATTAACTTATTTTTCATTCAAATGCAATTTATTGGGTTTTTTCAATTTATTGGGAGAAATAAATACTAAAAATACATAATTTTTGGTCACTCAAACTACGTATATTAAAATTAATAGAGATTGTAGATTTTTCTAGTGCATCTATATGGTTAGCTGCATGTCTTTTCATTATCGATTTTTTTAGTGACATTGATATGTATATCTAAAAGATGATAAATCACCTTTTGTTGGTGTTTATGTTGAAGTCGAAACTAAGTCGATTCTTTTCGAATGCTTCTTTTTTTTCATATGTTTGCGCTGTATCACGATATATATCGCGATATGGTCCGATTCTAACTAAAACGATATAACTCTTTAATAATGCATAAGTATCGGGAAATGTCGTGAGATATTGTATCGTATCACCATATCAGGATGCGATACTATATTACTAAAATAAAAAAACAAAATGCAATATTCAGCACCGAAAAACAGGTTTGAAGCAAATCTCTTTGGGTCTCTAGGAAAAAAATCGAGTAGAGAAAGGGGAGGCTTATGATTGAATATGCTTATTTGAAATTGAATTCGAATACGAGTGGATCGAAGAGGGCCCTTGCTTACATGGAGATAGTTCATGGATGGATGCACATGAGATTTTACATTTGATAGAGGAGCTCCAGGCTCAAAACAAAAAAGAGGTGTCTTTTAATTGTTATTTTTTGTTTAAAAGTATATTATTGTGCACTATTATTAAATAATTTTTGTTATATATAATTACATATAGGTCCAAGAAACTTAAATGTCAAGTTTGATATTGATAAGAATAGAAGGGAAAAGTCAAAGTTGGAGTTGATGAAGTTAAAAGAGATTGAAGAAGATGATGATGTCAATAGGATTTCAAGCCTTGGAACATCTCGCCTATGATGGCACGACAGACCCTTGGGATCATGTGAGTAGGTTCCAGACCACCGCTTACTTGCACCGATTCTCGGATGGAATTAAGTGCCGAGATCTCGCCACTATGTTACGGGAGTCCGCTCAATTGTGATTCGCTCAATTACCGGAAGGATCTGTGAAAAATTTCGAAATGTTCAGCTTTATGTTGTTGGACCATTTTGCGAGCTCCGAAAAGCAAAAGAAATCTTCCCTAACGTTGTTTGGTGTTAAGCAAGAAGGTAGAGAGTCGTTAAGGAGCTTCGTCCGCCGGTTCACGAGTGCTACTCTAGAAGTACTGGGCCTCTCGCATGATGTTCTCACAAATGCCCTAATGCAAGAATTAAAATACGGGGAGCTCTTTAGGTCGCTGGCAAAGAGACCGCCCTCAACATATGACGAGCTATTGAAACGGACAGAAAAGTACATAACCATGGAGGAGGCCATAAGAATGCAGGACGATGAAGCGGGGGTTTTACCTGCGCGCCGGAGTATAGGACGAGTTGTTTCGCAGGACATGACCCGGCCAGGGCCCAGTCGACGAGTTCCGGCCTCCGAAGTGGCGGGGCGAGATTATAGAAAGCCTCGCTACACCACCTATGCAATTCTGAACAAAACACCCTCACAAATTCTGATGGCGATAGAAGGGGATCTGATATACAATGGCCATTCACATATAAAAAGGGGCCCACAGGACACCTTGATGAGAGGGGATATTGCCGATACCACAATAAATACGGGTATCAGATAGATACATGCACTCATTTAAGGGACGAGTTGGACTATTGGAGAGATTAGCAAGAAAAAGCAGACTTAAGGACTTTATGGGGAAAGTGCGAGATGAAGGTCGCAAAGCGCACCCTGAGGCTCGACAACCTCGATTCTCGGACAAGCCAGTAAAGCGGAATAATGGTGGGCTCGAAAGAGGCATTCTCGATCAATGATGGTATCCGCCCAGGAGGGAGAGAGGGTGCACCTAGTCCAGGATAGCTCGCCGACGATTTTGTTTGGGGATGAGGATAAGCGAGGTGTAATTCGCCCTCATAATGATGCCTTGGTAATTAACGGCCATATCACAGAATATGATGTCTCGCGAATATTTGTCGACAACAGAAGCTCCGTAGATATCTTGTACAAGGACTGTCTTGATCGGATGGGGTTGGGGGATGTGGCAATTTCCCCAGACATCTGTATATAGGTCTTCAGGCGAGATGGCGAAAACAATAGGCGAGGTATCTCTACAGATTACCTTGGGTACTAGGCCCCTTATTTAGACACACGTCGTGCAATTCTTGGTAATGGATACCCCGTCCACATACAATGTCATTCTAGGGAGACCTACTTTCAATAAGTTCGAGGCTATTTCCTCCATTGTCCATATGAAATTGAAGTTCCCGGTAGAAAAGGAAGTGAGAGAGATTAAATGTGACCAGGAGGATTCTAGGAAGTGTTATGTAGATGGAGTTTCACAAAGCCATCAGGATACGAGAAGAGTTGATGAATACTTTGGGAGGCGCGCGAGAAAGGATTGATCCGGACACCATGAAGCCTAGATTAAAGCCTTTCGAAGAATTGCTAATCATCTAGTTGAATCCTCATCAGGTGGGTCTTACTACCAGAATAGGAAGCAACATGAGTAATGCTCTTACCGATGAACTGATTCAATTCGTAAGACAGAATTGCGACGTCTTTTCTTGGACGCCGGAGAACTTGAAAGGAATCGACGCGGGATTTGCTCAACATCGACTGAATATTCGGCCGGAAGCTCGACAAGTTAAATAGAAGAGGCGACACTTCGGGGATGAGAAGGACGAGATCATAGCGGTGGAGGTACATAGGCTTTTAAAGGCGGGGCATGTTAGGGAGATCCAATTCCAAAATTGGTTATCAAATGCGGTTTTGGTCAAGGAGGAAAATAAGTGGAGAATGTGTGTTGACTTTTGCGATATAAACAAAGCTTTCCCCAAAGATCAATACCCCTGTCGAGGATTGACCAACTGGTGGACTCAACAGCAGGTTTCGAGTTGTTAAGCATGATAGATACTTCGCAATTGCACCACCAAAGCAGACTCTATCCAGATGATCACAAGAATGTGAGTTTCGTCACTGCGGCAGGTACATATTGTTATGTCGTTATGCCGTTTGGCATAAAGAATGCGGGGACAACGTATCAGAGGTTAGTAGATTCCATGTTCAGAGACCAGCTATGGCAGAATATGGAAGTATATGTCGATGATATGCTGGTTAAGAGCAAAGAAGCAAAAACTCATGTGGAAGACTTGAGGGAAACCTTTGCCAAGTTGAGACAGTATGGGATGAAGCTGAACCCCGCCAAATGCTCATTTGGGGTACGAACGAGTAAGTTCCTAAGATACATGATTATAGAGAAAGGAATCGAGGTTAACCCTGAACATGAAGCCCCCAAGGACGGTCAAGGAGGTGCAGATTTTGACAGGGCGAATGGCGGTACTAGGACGGTTTATATTGGGCGCGGCGGAGAAGAGTTTGCCATTCTTCAAAGTATTGAGGAAAAATAATACCTTCGTGTGGACGGATGAATGCGAGGTCGCATTTGACAAAAAATAAGACCTTCGCGTGGACGGATGAATGTGAGGTCGCATTTGACGAGCTAAAAGCTTACCTAATAAAGGTACCCCTCCTAGCTAAGCCAAAACGACATGAGTCTCTTTTCCTTTATGTGGCGGCAGGAAATGATGTTGTTAGCTCAATCCTAACACGATAAGAACAAAACAAGCAATATCTAGCGTATTTTATCAGTAAAGTTCTGCAAGGTGCCGAGCAAAAATATTCCGAGATCGAAAAGGTGGCTTACGCTACGCGGTCATGGTTTCTGCAAGGAAGTTAAAGCCATACTTCCTCTCACACACGATCATTATGCGGACTAATCACCCCCTCAAACAAATGCTGAGTATTCCAGAGGTTTCCAGGAGGATGGTTAAATGGACAGTAGAGTTGGGCCAGTACAAGGTAGAGTTTCAGCCTCGAGTTTCGATCAAGGGGCAAGCATTGGCAGACTTTATTAAAAAAACCACAAAGATAGGATTAGAGGGGGAAGGAGAGACGTGGACAATTCACGTTGATGGATCAGTTACTATAGGAGGAAGCGGATCAGAGTAACTCTCACCAATGTCAATGGAGAGGTCTCATAATATACTGTCAGATTAAATTTCCGAGCATCCAATAATGAAGCGGAATATGAGGTTGTCAAGGAAGGCCACAGGGTAGCAGAGATAGAGGAGTGAGGTGCGTAAGGATGCTCTCCGATTCTCAATTAATAGTTCAGCAAATTAACGGAGTCTTCGAGGTTAAGAATGAACGCATGAGAGCAAATCACAGCACAAGAATCAACCTCACCAAAATTGATGATGTCAACAATAATCAAAAGTTAGTTAGGGTTTAGTCAGTTAGGTAAACAAGTTGTATCATAACAACCGTGTAACAACTTGTATTCTTTTGTATAATCCTTGTATATAAATAGGTAGATTACAGAGTTTGATTCTCTCATTATTCAGATTACAAATTGTAAAATTACAGTTACAGAACCAAAAGCAGTTCTTCGTCTCCATTGATCCAAAATGCATAAAGCAAGCGTTATTCTTCCTTTCGATATACGATTCTGTAGATTCTAATAAGTATCAAGTCATGCATTGTTACAAGAGATAAACACAAGTTTGATTGTACATGTCTTTCAATGTGAAATATTGATTTTACGAAACACCATTAAGACTTTAACATTTCAAAATTAAAAAACAAAAAACGCGATGCATTCTCAATTGTCAAAGTGTGATTCGATCATCAATCTGGCCTGCTGTCATAAACACAAGTTATTGTTTACATGTGTGTAATTTACCTAGTTTGGTTAGAGAATAATATGCTCGAATATACACAAACCTCTACTAATATGATATATTAATGACACAGAATTGAATTGTTCCTAGTTCGAAAACGTAACCAACTTTCTAAGGGGGCTTGTCCATCAGATAAAAACAATGCAATCATTAAATCTACAGCAAGGTGCTGGCCAATCTGTTAAATCTTTGTGCAAGAACACGATGATTACTGTTCTCGTACACCTCAATCAGCGACTGAATTGTTCCGAGTAAAACATCCTTTTTCTTGTCTGTAATAGACGACACCACATGTGTCGCCTCATTAACCGACTGACTTGTATCCCCAATAGACGAGCACAGATCCTTAATCCACACCTCAATAAATGATGCTTTCTACAAGAAAATTAACAAAAAGATTTACAGTTTGAGGTTTACAATGACAAAGTATGTTGTATTAGGATAACGTATTTATTTCTCTTACCTTTACAAGAAATTCTTGTATGGCGTGGTGGTCACATCTTGCAGCAAGACCCAACAGATGCAACATAGTAGACGTCAACTGTAACATACAAACAACAAGTAAAACACAACTCCGGAAAAACTAAGTGAGATCCAAAAATTAATTACTCCCAAAAAATAAATTATTAAGTGATGGATTATAACAGTTGCACCTTTCTATTATTCAACAGCAATATTATCTCAAAACAAGTGTTCAATCCGTTTTTAATATACGTCCAACATTAGAGCAATTAAAATTGATCTAGCACTTCCAGTACATTCGTATTGATGTTTCTCAACATAAAGAAATAAAACGAATTCATGAGAATTCCTCAAGCTGATCACCTGTTTTTCGAGTGCAATCCGATATTTGAAGTTAGAAGGCTCTGACATCTGATCTGATTTGAAGTTCTCAACTACATGCTCCACACTTTTAATGACGTCATAATATGATTTTCCATAATCTGCACCATGAGAGTACCATATGAAGAAACAAATAAATGAATATGAAACTACAATTGCCAAAAGGATCAACTTTCATGCTAGTTATATAAGGATTAATACTTCACCATTTATAGTTTCTGGTACAGCCAAAGCAGCAGCAGCTTGAATCCTGATCTTAAAATTAGAAGAATCCCGTAGTAGTAACAAAAGGATACTGAAAACAGAAGAAGCCCTGGCAATATATGATAAAAATATGTATTTACGTCAATAATTAACAATGAAGTATTTTTATGAAAACTATTTCATTTAATATCGCAAACAGAAAATATTTTGCCCCGAGTGATAACAACAGCATGAGGCTTAAATAATTTATTTGATCAATGACTTATGTTAACCAACAATCTCGTCTCCCTTTTTTCCCTCCTTACTCCCATAACACAATGAATCGAGCACAATTAATTGTGAAGTACCAAAAAGAACACAGATGGAACCAGAGTTTGATCTGCAACCGAGAATACGACTTGTACATTTAAACAATTGATTCATACAAAATGAACTTGAACTATCAGACAACTTCTTCCTTAATTTTTTAATCTTCTACCTACAACTAATTTATGTTGAAAAAAAATATACAAAAAGGTGGAATGCTTGTTTAAGTAATGTATTAAGCACTGACCGAAAGAATTCAATAATTAAGTCAAGGTAAAAATTAATTAAAGAAAAAAACCCTATTATCCATCAGACTCTATGCAAGAATCTGAAACTAAAAATCCATTGTACCTCCTCGAGTCATGAGGAAAATCCAGAACCTACCCCTACGTTTAAAAAGATCCCAAGGATCTACCTGGACGTGAAATCTGTGGTAATCCAGCCAGAAATTGTAAATCAAATTATACCAAGAGGTTCAAAAATGTTCAGATCTAATCCAAAGCTTAGTTTGCATTAGGTTAAATCTCAAATCTTAATTTTCACCACCTTGACTTTTAAGTTCTAGAACTTTACCATTTGATAATGCGACCAGGACTTGGATAAAAGTAGAGCATCTAATTGAAGTAATTCGCCTCTGCTACAGTGCTATTTCAACCAAAATACCCATCACTCATCGATAGTATATAGATAAAGTGCATCCACTCTTTCCAACTAAAGAAAAATAAGTAGATAAAAGGTAGAATCCTCACCAATCCATGTCCTGTAGTTTCAGAGTTTTGTTGTAAAATAAATTGCTCAATGCATGACATACATTCCACTGAACCTGTTAGAAATAATCAGTTTCAAGAAATTTGATTCAAAAAATAATGCTATAACAGTAAATATCAAAGGATTATAGTGGAAAAAAAGGAAAAAAATTCCACAAACCTTTACGTTTCCGGTTGTTACACAAGAAAGAAATGTGTGCACCATCTGTCCAAGCCAATCAAAACCTCCCAAAGATGCTGAAGGGAATGAGTCTGACATTTCTTTCATATGACCCTTGGATTCTTTTGCGCGATTGTTCTCAATCTTGAAATCGACTGGATTATCAGTCACGGGTTGTTGACTTGTAAATTGAACAGATTTTGACAGATTTCCCAAAGCTCTAACAGCATTTGCTTTAACCTGTACCCCATGTAAAGACAACTTATAAAGATAGAGCAGAACACAAGATGGGCATTGAGTATTAAAACCAGGTGGATATCTTGCAAAAATAATCAAAATCATTACGTTAAGGATGCAAATAAAGAAATTGAAGCAAAATAGCAGCTCTACGATGACTTCAGTTTGCTAGAGATATCAGCATATTGTTTTAGCTCAGTGGAAACAAAATCCTTTTCTTTAGGATACCCTTTAGAAAGATTAATAGAATCACCTTCGTCTATAAGCATCATCTAGATTGCGATTCGTTTTGTATTCAGACAAAAGGCTGACACAAGTGTTATGCGTATAAGTCTGCACGCAGATGATAGAACTTTAAATTTTAAAATGGAAAACAAAAATTTGATAAAGCTGCTGTAGTAAGTATAGGCAATCTTTGTATGATATAGACTTTGTTGACTCCCAACTCAAGCAATACTCAATCTTCCCATATCAGATAACAGTATCCAACATTATGGAATGACAACGAAGAGCACAAGTGAGCAAATAAAATGACAGTTCTGCTTAGATGCATCTAAAGGATTATTAAAGGGAAATGAAAAGAGAAAATTCTCGATCATTATAAATTGTAGAAGCCATGGTAATTCATAGAAGTGCTAAAAAAATTAGCCCGTCTTGGCAAGAGTATCGTAATTTGCATATCTACCTTATCATTATCCCTTGCCAACCGCAAGGCACTGCCAACTAGCAACGATATCAATTCAGAGCTTTTCCTTGATTCTGTCAGGATGGAAAAGTAAGATTGCAGAACAGAAACCAAATTCAAAGAAAAAGATATAAGATTCGAATACTGGCCCACCACCCACCAATAGAACTTCCAGCATGAAGTGCATCCATGCAATGACTAAGAGAATCACATATGTTTGCTAAGGCCCATGAAGCTGGAATACGGACCTGAAAGTTGTTATTAGCATATTCATTAAGATTAAGAAACATGTCTTCAGAGAAAAAAAGAAATGGAGAAGAAATCTCCAGAGAGAAAAGCACAAACGTCCGGAGCAGAATTTTGTCAGTAAACTCTAGTTAATTTATCTTATTAGTCAGTTTAAGCTACCACAAAATTACGATTTGTCGCTTTCGGAAAATATGACATGATTTCTTAACAGTTGATGAAGATTCACGTATGAGGTACAATCTACTAGTTCTAAAAACTTGGGAGAAAATAAAAATTACCGTAATAGAATCCGAAACTTGAATTCTAATAAGATACCGAAACCAGTTTCAAAAAATATGACAACATCAAATTCATAGTAACCATCTACAAATTCTAAAAAAACTTAAAGAAGATAACAGTTCTCATGATTGAATCTGAAACATAATTTCAAATAACAAGATACCAAAACCAATTCCAAAAACAATAAAAACATAAAACTCATAGTAATTTGCTATAAAAAAAAATTAGATGATTTTCAATTTTCAACAATTAATTTTACTACAAGTATTTAATATTACTGATTAGTTGGTTATCTGGGTTCAATAATATTGACGAAGAAAAATAAATAGCCTCTATACACAATATTGCGGGTATAGATTTGTCAAAAAATATCAGTTCACTTCTGAATCAGTAGGTTAGAAATCTGGAGCTGAATTTGTAAGTGCTGAAGTGTTCTGTTCAGATGTACATGTCAAACAAATCGAATGAGGTTTATCTGAACAAATAAGAGACTGCAGCTTATTCAGTGCTAATTAAGCAATTTCAAACATGTCCTTACTTGATAAAGATACCAAAAAAGGGCAATCTCTAGGACTTTCTGAAATTATGTGAAGCAGAGGGAGGATGACAAATGGCAAAGAACTTACAGAAACCAATGAGTTGTGAGCATTCTGATCAACAGCATGAATAAACTTTTCCAGGACCTCTGTGCTGGTAAGAACAAGTAAACAAAAACAGAAAAATAAAAAAAGATTAGGATTTTCCGACATTTCCAAGTACCATAATATTTCAAAACCTCAAATTTATTTACCTGTGATATATTTCTGGGAAACATGCAATTACACCAATGGCTCGACAAGCAGCTGACCTAACTGAAGGAACCTCGTCGACAGCAGCATTAATCTACAAAGACCCACATGATATTAAATATAAAATAAGTCTACTAACCATTGACCCCATCAAGGCCTAAAAGTGATAGATTGACTTAACTTCTACCGCTCAATGAGAGTTGACGAGGTGAATTTTGTGTCCTTCCTATTTTTACCTCAAATTAGTGTTCAAGGTATGTTTCTACAGTTCTACTTCAGCAGTGTTCAAAATATTAGATTATGGAGGGATACAATAGGAGAGTGAATTGATATTTTAGGAAATGGAATATTATTTGTCAACATTCAACTGAAAAAGGATCATATCTCTGTGGATAATACAGAACTTACTGAAGAGTTAATAATGAATTCCTGTCTGTCCTTGGGTAGGAAAACGAAAACAGAAGAAGTCATCCCAGCAAAACAGGTCACGGATGCAGCCCTTACCTTCCAAATGAATATAAAATGTGACATATAACAGTGTAAGTTACACATCGCTTGATATTCAAATTTCCAAAGCTTCAGAAACAATTTAACCTCTAAAACTGCTTGGAAAAGATAATGACCATGTATCCACTATTCAGTGAATCAACGAGGAAATAAACAATCAACCGCAGAAAATAAAATCAGTCTTCACTGCATTACTCATTACTCAACACAGGAAACATGTAAGAAAATATTTCCTAATCGATCAAAACCTATTAAAGTTGGTGTGGCTACAACAAGTCTCTGCTAACTTTTCCATTCGTGCTGTAATGATTTAATTACTTTAAAGAATTAACCATAACAAAAATAATGAATTCATTAAATGAATTTCAATGTTTCCCATTTCATTAAAAAAACTTTCGGGTGTTTGAGGAACAAACTGTGTACCATTAATATAACATGATAATAAAAATTGCTACTTCATGAATAAAAAGTAAATTTTAAATAGATTTTCAAGTTAAGAGTTAAACTTTTTGTTAATCTACTTTCTCAGTTATTTTCTAGTGATTCAAGTGAGAAACATGCCTTAAGAGACAATAATGTGAAGAAAAATAATCTCAATTTGACTAACCGTAGCTGAAGAATGTTTAATAATAATAGGCATATGTTTGGTTGTTGCTTCAACCCACCGCTGACTTGCTAAGTGACATGAATCATCCTTAATTGAGGCCGGACTCTCTAAACTGTATGATGGAGCTGATGAGATCGCCTTTGTTTTCACATAGCCAGATGTAAACGGACTGTCAAGAAATTTATCATTTGAAAGATCTTCAGTTCCTTTAAAGCCAGAAATAGCCCGGAGACATTCATCCAAAACCTGTACAGTAATGATTGTCAAAAGAACAGAAGTGAACATTTAAATCAAATACGGAAAAGGTACCTTGGGTATGAGCTAGAAGAAATAGGAATTATTTTTTTCTTTTTTCCCCCCCACTCTAGTCTGTCTAATAATTATATCGTCAAATCAAATCTATGATTTTATTACATATTACCATTTATAGGTTGTGCAATCCTCCGTGCTACAACAGGCTTATAGAATGGAAAAGGGAAATTAAATTACATAACTTGTGGATGTTTGAAAACTATTAATTTGTTGAACAATACAAACTTGGTTCTAGATGCATAAAGTGAATATCAAGTGTAAAAGATTTAGAACCATGCATGCAGAACAGAAAATAAACCGACCTTGACTGCAGCTGTTATGACTCTCTCCTTGATTTGTGCAACAGCATTTTCTACATCGCCCCTCCACAATCTCACAGGAACATCAGAAGATGAGCTCAAAACTCCAGCAATTATATAAGAAACTCGTTCCCAGCACAAAGTCATCACCTTGGGATAATTATGTGCCACAGCTTTAAGAGCCTACGACAAACTAATTAAAACATTAGTATAACGGGTCAAGTAAAATATCTGAATCAAAGAACTCATAGATAGTTCGAAGAATAGGTATTTATCTTTTATGCTGTTTAAGATCATGGCTGGTAGTTGCATTAGCAGCTATTGTATGTAAGCATGTAATCAACAAGAAGATTGAACACAATTCAGCTATTAATAACATAAAAGCACTTAAACTTTGTCATAGAAGGTCTTTGTAGAAAATGATAATGTTTAGAATAGATATTGTCCCCCTGTATGTTTTTTTCAATTAATAAGCACTAACATGTTGCTAAATAATTTAACCTTGACAGCAAGCATGATATTTGCCAATGAGGATGATTGAAATCTGTATGTAGTCCAAATAGAGTGTCTCATAGAACTGATTCTGAATTTAGGTTAGATTTATTTGAAATTTTTAAAATTATATTACTTTATAATGATGAACTCGACGCGTTTTTAAATGAGTATACGAGCACTAAAATAACCTGAATTACAATGAGCTTTTCTCCTTCTCGGGCCTTATTAGTCGACTTAATTGTTTGATTATTATGCAATATTTAATGGGCCCGAGTCAAAATCATAACCAGGCTTTAGATAAACAATAACCACAGCAGGTATTAAACCAATTCCAAAGCTCTCTTTTCAGTCTACAGCCTCAATCATTTATAAGGCTAAAAACAGCGATACTTTAAACCCAAAAGCATATAGATGAGCACCAATCCTTTTTTTTCAATATCAGGGAACAGGCTGTATGATATCTTTCAGAAACATTCACTGTACATAGAACAGAAAATGAAGTTGATCCTTATTTTAACCTCTAATTATAGAACGATAAATTAATTTATACAACAGAATAAATGTTACCTGAAATGCTTCTATGCTTATCAATGGACTTGATAATTGTTCAGAATATCGAAATAAGGAATTCAGTACACCAGACCTCTGTTGACCTTCAACGGATCCTGGCAGATAAATCAACAAACATCAAAATCACATTAAGATACTTAAGTCAAGAAGTATCATATAAGAATGAAGAATTTTGAAAAATAAAAAGTATAGGAAAAGAGAATATCGCTTGAAGTTTCTTAAGATTAACTATTTTACCCCCAAAAAAACCCATTAAAGTTACAATATATTTTCATGGTTTCCACCACTTTTTCATTCGAAAGAACCCAATAATTAACTGTTATCCTGACACCATTAAGGTAAAATTCATTTTGAATGGAATAAATCTTGATTTCTTACAGTAAGAATTAACTTATTCTATTCAATTCGTTAATTTGTTAATGGAAGGAGGGTGTGGAATTTATTCCAATTATCATAAGAAATAAATCTTGGGGTTTCTCAAATGAAAATTGGTAGAGTGGGTTTTTGGGTTTATTAAGAGAGGGTGGGGAGGCAGACAGAAATATTTCTGCAGCCTTAATTTGAAGGAGGAACAGTTGCAGCGGTACTACTTCTGCTACAATTCTAGTTCTCTTCTCCCTTCAATACACCAAGAATATACAACATGACATCGCGTCAGTATCATTTCTATATTTAATTTTTCAAAATAGGAAAATGTTATTTCCCACTCAATTTTCACAAGTAACAGGTTTCACATGAATGCAAAATACAAAACCTGTTGATATTTCTCCGAGCAGCATGTCGTTTACACACGTCGAGGAAGGAGATACGGAAAGTGCTATGGTTAAGCAATTAAGTGCATCTGCCTGCAAATAGTAACCAGAACTATCATGTAGATTTCATTTTCATTTCTTTTTGTTCTAGTAAAGTGAAGTTATACTAAAGAAAGAATGACCATGAATGACCAATTTAGACAATCTAAAGATCATTTAAGCAACTATCTGCAAACCAACATCTTCAAGAGGATTAGAAGGAAAGGCTGAGATCAGTTAGTATGTAAAATTTCCACATGTAGAACCAGGATGTTGTTCCTTATTTATCTCAAATAAGCTGTTCAAAAAATCAAATAGGTTTGAGTGACGATAAGCTATTAAACTCGTCATCTTTCAACGAAGAGAATCACCACAAGATGAAGGAGAAGAGCTTGTCAAAGAAAATTGCTGAGACCTCCATGGAAAATATGCCTCTCATGTGCTGTAAACGAGACATAATCAGGTTCAAAAATTACTGGACGATGGGCCAACTGTGACGGCTATTTATCAGGATTCTATTCAGGTGTCAATGTATGAATTAATAACACTTACACTTAGTGAAGACAAAAACTAATTGAACTGCATAACCCGGTTCCAAATATGTGGACGATTTGGATAGATCCTTAGACTATTTGAATCCTAAAGGATATGGTAAGTTAAAACTTAAAACTGCTTCTTAGACATCAATCTCTGAAATGTATTCAATATCATTACTTTAGTCTCTGAAGAATCCACATGGTCTAGCGATTCTCGAACTTAAATGAAGTAAACAAAACTGCAGTGTGAGTATACAGCAAGATAAGACAAGTATACATGAAATCTCGACACTAACCAGCGAGCTATTTCGATCACTTTGAAAAGGAAAGCCCTCATCAATTGTTACTTGAACCGAAGAGATAACCTTTGAGAGTAGATCGCCAGACATCCTCGAATATCTACAGAATTAATCAAAGATAAACTTAATCATATTTAAACAAACATCTTGTAGCAAGACTAAATCGTATATGGTATGGTGTTAATACTTCCGAGTAAAATCAGTTATTATACTAGTTGACTCTTTGCTTTGCAACTTTAGGTTTCTAAGAAAGACAGAGAAGTAAGACATATGAAACCAGAAACAATTAGCATGCCAAATAGTAGTGATTAAAATCATCAAAAAATACTGCACAAATGGGGGTCCTAAAACGAGGATAAATGAAAAACTACTCCCAGTTAACAAATAGTTTATGAGAAACTCTATTAAAATTATAACACCAAACGCCACTACCGTTGATTTTGGACCGACACGACAACAAAACGAAAAAAAAAAAGATAAGAAAAAAGAGTAGCACTGGATGGAGAAAGTAAAAAATGTTCTCTAGAAAGCACTTACGGAGTAGATGATAACAACAGCGTCAGGATTTTGAATGCCAACGCCAGTAATCTACTGTTGGTTTCATGTTTGATTAAATATAGGGTACCTATTTTACAACAAACAAAATATATCTCATCAGATATAATGCAATCAGAAAATTATAATTAAAGTTAAGGAAAAGTGGGGAGATCTTTAACGGACCAGAATGAAAAAACAAATAAACAAAAAGCACTTTTGCATTCCAATACCTAAATGTAGCTGCATTAAGATATGTCCAAGAGAAACAGAAAGAGCTGTGAACGACCCACATTTGGATTGCCCCCTGTATTCAGCTACCTGAAGGGAAACGGATGCAGGCCCATTCAACAATGCCATAATAGTAGAGCCAGCTGCAATCCGCACCTAAGCAACAATTTAAAATATCTCACTCAATAAAGTTTCAATCAAAATAAATAGGAATTATTCGGCACCATTCAGCAAAAATATGTAAAACATATCACATTGTGAATAACCAAAACAAGCATCGAGATATTATAGGAAACATATATAGAATATAAAAGAGGAAGGGAATAATATTCAATATCAACTGCAACGAATATAAATGACACCTTTAGATGAGGATCAAAAAGCAAGCAACTCATCAGGGTAATATCATATTTCCTGCAAATAATAAATTTAGATAAATGAGAAGATAATAGGAAAAGTGCCCTTAAGTTATTACGGACGTTTTAACCATGAAAGTTTATGACAATCATATTTCGTAAAATTAGAAAAGGGAGTAGAATGACTCGCCGGTGTTGCAGAACATCATTGGACGGCAAGAGCATTGTCCATTGGGCTGTAAATAATTTGGGATCAGCTCGGCAGAGATCCTTCGACCAAAGTTCAAGAATTAGAGGCAAAAAAATGAAATTTTAACTAGTTTATCGAATTAACTTCAGAAACTTTACGCATAATACCTTGAATTGACTAGAAGTCATGTTCGCAAAATAGTAGAAGAAGATGTTGACAAACAATGATGTATGAAGGGTACAAAACTTGTAGCAGATAATTAAAAACACAATGAAGAGAAACAAGACAAAATGAACATACCTGAATACAAAGAATTGCAGCTAACCTAGCCTTAGCGAACTTGACACCACGAGTATCTACCATTGTTCCATCATTATCACTTGAATCTGAATCTGATGATATAAATTCATCTTTACACAGCCGGTTTTCCACAATATTTTTTCTCAGGTGTGGAGGCCTATAAGGGCCATTCCTGGGTCTATTTGATACTTCAACTTGTGGGTTTTGGCTTGTCGAACCAACTTCCTTCGTGTGATTGGTTGCTTGATTCATACCATGGGACTTATTTACAAGGCCATAGCGGAGAAAAATTCTCAATGCTGCTACCAAGCCAGCCACCTATTTTTTTAAAACCACCATAAATTCACTCAAAAAAGGTAAGGATAATAATCGTTTGGCAGATCTAATCAATCTGAAAGAGGTAGTTTCTTACATGTTCTGCCAGATATCCTTTAGGCTCTGTAAGAACCAAGTGCAGACAATGGAGAAGCTCAATGTAAAACCTGCCGAAGATGGTAACACCATGTGATTTTTCGAAATCTAGTTCATGAAAACAAAACTCTGAATAAAAGGGAGTGAAGGTTACATGGCAATAATATTATCCTCCAAAAGAAGGTTTTGAGATGCCACGACGTCCATAACTTTTCTTAGGACCTAAGGCAGAAATAAATCATTATTTTTTTATTTTAAGCATGGATTGTTTAAGTCTGTTACAATGTGTGCGCACCTCAATTGTTGACTGCGATATGTCAACTGATAAAGAAGAACCAGCTCTCAAGTATACTTCACCAATCATGGAAAATGCAACTGTTAGGACTTCGCAAACACCTCCAAATATTGTATGGTTTTCACTTGGATAAAAAGAGTATATTGACTCTCCTTGAAAATAGCCAACCACTTGAAGAGTAAACTTTAATAGCTGCTCATTTTCCGACATTGAAGCAGCTGTCTGACATAAAACAAAAAGGCGCCTGAAAAAATAGATCATTTATAAGTGCATTATGTATAGGTGGGTTATGGTAACATATCAACAAACAACCCCCCGGGAAATGGTGAAACATATAATGTGTGTGTGTGAGAGAGAGATAGAACAACTTAGGGAACTCAAACTACAGCCAGAACAAGTAGCAAACATTCCACGAAATCAACATGTTCCCCAATAAACATGGATATTATGGAATAATCTATTGCTCACACAGTCTAAGCATGTGAAAGGAACCGTTTTAGGGAGTGAGGAAGATGGGAGGGAGGAAAGGGGTGGGTGACGAGAAGGAAAACAAATTATCACACCTTAGACTTTCTAAACATTGTTTTGTCGCTTTAATTACTGCAGCATTTCCAATCGGTAAACACTCTCCTTTGCTTTTCACAATCAAAACATGTAGTATCCTTTTGAAAGAGTCAAGAAAAACAACCCAAGATGCGGAATTCAATTTCAGAAAAGAACAATGAGTGACACCATGGATCTGCAACAAAAAATAAGAAAATGTTCAGATTCACCAGATATAAAAAATTTAATGTTAAGATGGTAATGAAAGAGAATAACAATCATAATCACCACAACAACAAAAATTCCAACCGCAATCAAAAAAAATTCACGAATGCAGATTATAAAAATTCATTTTTTTCCTATTAAATTCAGTATATTCCAAAGGAAAACATTGAACCAAACAGAATGGCTTCTAAAATATAACGACATTGTGCATGCTCATCACTTCATGGCACCATGAAAAGGAACCTCTTCCTTGTCGTGCCTATTCAACTACAGAAAACTCTAACTTCTCGGGTTTCTTTCTGGCCCCCAAAACAAAGTTTTATTTAATATAACAAGAAACAGAAACGAGTCGAAATTTCCAAGAATGATATGCGGAAAAGGAACAAAATGCAAAATCACCATCTTTCCACATAATTTAAATTGTCTAATTCAAGTACAACTACAGCCACCGCATATTTTATAGCATTAACTCTTAACATTCCTTACTTTGCAGGCAAGATGGCCGATAATTTGGGTGGTTTCTTTTGTAATTGGATTACAATGGTGTTTGTCCTCTGGTAAATTGGACATATAAAATGAATGAAGCACAAATTGGAGATAGCTAAAATAAAAATATATATATATATATATATATATATATATATATAAAATATAGAACTAGTAAACAAAAGTACCAAGTGCGATAATTTAGTGAAGGGCTGAATAGCATCCTCAGCGCATTCAGAATAAGAAATGCTCCGCGCCAACTCCATCAACAACATCAAATCGGACAAAACCTAAATACACACACCACATCGTAAGCTAATTACAACATCAGATGTGATCAGATCACAGAATCACAGAATCAAATGTTCGGATGAAGAAGGAAATACCTCGTCTGGGGGCAACTCTGGAGCGGCAGCTATGAGAGAATCGGATTGGGAGAGAACGAGTTGGCTGAGGAGGCGGAGGACGGTGGCCCGCGGTGGTGAACCTAAGCTTTCGTCCCTCAGGGTAAGAAACGCCGTTCGCCATGACCTCGCCGGCGCCGGCGCCGATGACATTGGGGGAGAATGCTTGTTTTGTATTGTGAACTGAAGATTCGTATATACAATGTGGTGGGAGTATTGTGTAACTATTTTTATTTGTTTAATTGGTAGTGGGTAAATTGAATATAACCATATTTTGTAATTATAAGATGGGATTTAAGGAAGAATTGAGAATATAAACGAGGAATAGATACAACAGTAGAGAGAGAAATTAGATTAGGAGAATTTTGAATTTTGATAAAACTTCTGCTGTATCGTGTTTGCAAATATTTCGGAAAATGAACTAAAATTGAAAAAGCAGGGTTATGGGTGCTTTTAAAAAAATAGCTTAAAGCAGATTATTTTAAGAGAAGCAAAAGCAAAAGCAAAAGTTGATTTTGCAAACACCTTAAAATAGATTATGAGCAAAAAAAACCGCATAATCACTTTCAAAAAGCATTTGCAAACACCACCTAAGTTCGCTGCTGCTAGAATTCGATCATAGAACACTGCACCAACTTACCACACCAGAACCCGTTGAGCTATACCCATGCGGGCATTAACTTCAAAACCCATCTGTGCTTGGTAGATAAGTACGAAATTATGAAAACTTCTATAATCTCACTCACAAATTCTCACATTTTTAATCTCCAAATTATTAGACTTTTTTCGGATTTTATCAACTCGAGAGCAAAAATGAACTAAGTGGATGACGATCATCCCGATTTCCAGGTAAGTTTTTTGGATTTTCGGAAAGAAAATTGTTTTGGTTGTTCCATATTCGTTAACACGGAATCCCTATCTACTATTTCGTGCTAAGCAATACAGAAAAAATATAAAAAGGGAAATTAAAACCGGTTTTCGTGTAGATCTACGCAGAGGGGGCTAAACTTGTTTCGTGTTGTACAAACCGGAGACATCCGGTTCGTGTCGTACAACACGGAACAGGTTCAACCCAGTTCGTGTGGATCCACACAAAAACCAGTTATTTTTTTAGGTTAAATTACGGTCACCCCCGGAGGTATGGTCAAATTAAGAAGAAAAAAAATCACTCTTGTTTGGGTAATTACAGTAAACCCCCTCCTTTTAAATAATTTTACATAAAATTTATGCAATTCGATTATTTACTGAACCAAATCGTACATTTAGTTTGGTAAACGGTAAGAAATGATGGCATACCAAAATTTCGGTTCGGATCTACCGATTTAACATCCCTAAATTTACCTTTGAAGGGTTTTTTCGTAAAATGATACATAGTTGAGGAGGTGCCTGTAACTACCCAAATATGAGGGGGGTTTCCGTAATTTGACCATAACTCAGGGATGGCCTTAATTTGCTCTTTCTCATTATTGAACTTAGTAATTTGAATTGATATTTTTTTTTAAACAAGAAGAAGATATGACGAATACATAGTGTATACACAATGTTTCTACGTCTTCTGTGTATTTTCACACGGAATATATATATATATATATATATATATATATATATATATATATATATATATATATATATATATATATATATACACACACACACACGTTCTCAGCATAATTCTCCTCCCGAGAAAAGAAGCGAACCAAGACGCGAATGGCAATGGAAGGAAACTAGGGATCCAAGCTCGAATGAAACGCATCAGGGTAGAGTGGAAAACATCGAAAAAAGTCTCATCCTAACTCTAGCGGCAAGGATCCGTCTTTTCTGGCCAAAGAACCCATCACGGAAGCTTTAAACGTAGATGTTCTCACCCAAAACAACTTCGCCACGTTAGAAGACGAGGCAACCATTCAAACACCGGAGACAACTGTTAGAGTAGGTGACCAACAAGCCAACTTGTGGCTGTGGTCTTTTCATTTATTCTTGTAATAAATAATCATTATTTCGTATTAATGATAAAACACCTTGACATTCTATATCTATGTCCCTTGTACAAACATAAATATAGTCCTTACAGTTATTACAATTACTTGTAATTGATCTTTTAGGATCGTGAGATATTTACTTTAGTATTATAACTCAAAAGTCTTGGCTTCTCCGACTGAAGAAGAGGTTTTCCCAACTGTTAAATATTTCTCTTCGGAGAGTTCACCAGGCCAAGACAGGTTCACAGGCTACTTTTTCGTCAAATGTTGGAATATAGTCAAAAGTGATCTTATGAAATTGGTGAAAGTGATTATCTATCCAAGAGCACGTCCATTACCCTTTTGTGCTTCTGCCGAAAGTCCCCAATCCGGAATCTTTTAATAATTTTCGCCATATTAACTTGGGGAACTTCGTTAGCAAGGTCATACACTAGGTTGAATGATATTTTGCCGATGATAATATCTGAAGAGCAGACGGGCTTTTTCAAAAACCGAAGTATCTGACATAGACCGAAAGATTGACGGCGGGAATATAATCTTCAAGTTCGACATGTCCAAGGCTTATGATAATTTGGAATGACGTTTCCTTTTGAAAGCCATGCAAACCCTAGGCTTCTCCCATCATCTGAGTGATTTGATGTATCGGTCATTTTCCAACATTTGGTACTCGTTCCTTATCAACGGAATCTCATGGGTATTTTAAATTGTCAAGAGGGTTTCGGCAAGGAGACATTTATCTCCTCCTCTCTTGTTCATTTTCTCCCAAGAAATTATTACCATGAACATTAATCGATTGGAGGAGCATACAAAAAGCATTAAATACAAAGTTAGGCGGGGTTCTCCTCGTATCTCTTATCTCTTCTACGCAGGCGACATGCTTCTGTTCACTAATGGCAACAAACGTTCGGTTAAAGCTCTAGGAAGTATGTTGAATAAATACGAAGATTCTTCAGGTCAGCTCATTAGCTTGAATAAAAACGATATTCATACTTCTAAACGAGCCAACTCTAGGAAAATTATTCATCTTAAATGGTGGAGTGGCTGCAATATCACCAAACGTTGCCTTTCAAATATCTTGGGGTTCCGTTTTATCGAGGTCTTTGTTTGATCAAACATTTCTAGTATCTATTACTATAGGTGCAATCTCGGTTAGAGGGTTGGCACTCGAAATTGCTGAATTTTGGAGGTCGAGTTCCCTAGTAAAGATGGTTTTAACAAGCCTGGCCACGTATACTCTATCGTTGGCCCTCGTTCCTAAGCAGACCCCCAGCGCACATGAAGAGCATGTTTCAAAAATTCCTATGGGGTAAGCACGACGGCAAATGAATCAACTGGATAAGTTGGGAGCGACTGTGTTCCCATAAAACTGAAAGTGGCCTAGACTTCTATTCTCTTAGAGACAAGCAACACATCTTGGTCGACAAACTGGCTTGGAAAGTGTTGGAAGGAAAATCTCTTTGGGCGCGCTTCGCAAGAGAAAAGTATGAGAGCAAGTTTGGTAGCGCAGTTCGCTTACATGCATCACCTTTATGGCGTGAGATCCACTAGCATTTTGCTATTTTGAGTCAGTAGATGGATTATCGGAAAATGAAATATTGACTTTTGGAAAGAGATGGCTCGACAATGAAATTTTAGATGACCAACAATCTATCTCGTTCCAATTAGCTAAAACTCACCCTCATGAGTACAAAGACACTTCTATCACCAACCCAACAACAAATCTTTGATATGATTGTCTTGGAAAAGCGACAGAAGATCGTTTAATTTTCACCGAAGCCATCACCGGGAAGTTCTCCATCGCCGCATATTGGGAGCTCATTCGTCCTAAAAGGCAGAAGGCTAAGTTGGCTCAAAAGATATGGGATCTGAAAATCCCAATGAAAGTGAGAGCCTTTTTTGGAAGCTTACATATGGCGCCATCCCCGTCGACTTAAACCTTAAGAAGAGGGGATGCTCATCTCCATCTCGATGTAGTTGTTGTAGCAGGCATCAAGAGGAGAGTTTGCCTCATCTCTTCGTTCACTCGGATGGTGCTAAGGGTGTTTGGTGATATTACGCCAATACTTGGCAAATTCCATATGGGTCCATGAAGCACCTCATCAAAGCTCGGACGGGAGGTTTCAATATTAAGAATCAACAAGATTTAATTACATTTGGGATTTTGATGTTCGGGTGTTGGGAGATTTGGAAGGCAAGATGCATTTGAGGAGATCCCTATGAATACAATGGCGATAGTCTGTAACATTGTTGCATCGCTCTTGACCTTTTTTTTTTTTTTTTATCGAAGATGTAAATAATATAAAATCAAAAAAAGTCGTAGACAATTACAACGGGCATACCCGAGGGAATTGAGGAAACAATAAAAAACATCTAACTATAGAATGACAAAAAAACGTGAAAATCCTAGCCGTCAATTGGGGCTATGCCCCCCTCCCCAGTGTGCGTCAACGTGGCCGACGATAAATCGGCCTCCACTGTTGGTAGTCAGTTCTGGGTACTGCATGAACATAGCTTAATAAACGTGAGTCTGAATCTTCCGGACAAGGGCAGTAGTCGTAGTCTCTGTCTTATCGAATCTCCATTTGTTCCGAGCCTCCCATATATGGTAAACAACGCTTGCCAAAGCACATCTCCTCGTCTTGCTTCGGTACGATTTACCTTTGACATCCTTGGTGAGCCACTTAAGAGCAGCCCGTATAGTAGTCGGCCGTTGTGAAATTCCCAACCAAACTCGAATACGATCCCATACTTCGAGCGATAGGCTGCACCGAAAAACAAATGTTCCCGGTCCTCGTTCACCGCACCGCACAACACACAACTCTACTCAATGTCCCGATAAGATAGATGTTCCATGGTTTGCAGCCGATCAAGGGCTGCCATCCAAAGAACAAATGAATGCTTAGGTCTCATGGAGTTGTCCCAAAAATGTCGACCCCATGGCGGACCCCCGGTTGGAGCCCTAATCCAGTCATAAATCCGACCCATCGTAAGTTTTCCCAAGCTCGAGCACGTCTTCAATCGAGCTAGGAGCAATGGAATGGATCCCGCCTTGCCCACGACTTCATCTCGGATCCTACAAAGATTTTTGAAGTATGGGGAAGAAGTCACTGACGGTTGCCATTCCCAAATAGTCGTGCCCTTGAGGTAGAATTCATTGACCTATTGAATCCATAGGGAATCCTTCTTCAAGTGGATGTCCCAAAGGTCATTCACAAGCAAACTCCGGTTCCATGTACGCAAGCAACGAAGGCCCAGCCCACCAT